GATGATTTAGTGCATTAGATCGCTCAGTCTTATCTCTTATTACGTACACTTTAGGGATAGAAGACATGATTCGTCTTGAACGACTAGGATCATATGACCATACAATCAAATTCTTTACTCGAGGAAAATCAGATTATATAACACGGTACTGTACCAGTTGACACGGTCAACATTGTCATCTGGTTTTGTCTACCTACGTGTACAAGTCACTTAGATGAGCATACCCCAATGACTTGGGAATATTACACTAGCAAGGTGATTTTCATCACCGGGGGCTCAGGCTTCCTGGGGACCACCCTGATTTATCGCCTTGTCACACGAGCACCAGTGGCTCATCTCTATGTTCTATGCAGAGGAGGTCTCCCGTAAGTTCTCTCAATGAAACTCAGATGAATCAATCCACTGATTATGTATTTTAGGAAACTCATTGAAAAATGGTCTCGATGGCTCCCACGTGAAACAGTGAGAGTGATGATAGATTCTCGGCTTCTTACGGTGCTGGAGGGAGACATGCTACTCCCGAACATGGGGCTGACTTTAGACCAACTTACATTGATTAAAACCCAGGTACATGTTATAGTTCACTCAGCTTCCTCCATTGCACTTCTGAAGTCCTTGGAAAAGCTTGTCGAGCCCGTCATCAATGCCACAGAACGGCTGGCGGGCCTAGGATTAGAATGCGAACTTCTTGAATGTTTTGTATTTGTCTCAACAGCCTATTGCAATGCTTATCTGTTTGCTGAAACCGATGGAACGTCGCAGTTGGAGGTGCAAGAGCTGGTTTATCCTCTTCATAACAGCGGTGAAGATACGGAAGAAAAAATCAACCAAGAATTACAAGAAGTCACCAAGGAGGGTTCCTCATTAGCTTATCGCTCGCATAGCTTTCCCTGGGCCTACGGCTACGCAAAACAGCTTGCAGAGAGACTTCTTCATCAAAAGCTCGCCTCCAAGAATAAGCGACTGCTGATAGTGCGGCCGTCTATAATAGAACCTGCACAATGCTTTCCCTATCGAAAATTCTGCATACCAACGTCGACTCCTCATATCATTTTCGCAGCCGGGCTGGCTCTTACTTTGTCAAAATCCGTTTGCTTTTCCTCACGATTCGATGATCCATTCCAACAGTCGAGTATCGATTATGTTCCTGTGGATGTGGTAGTCGATCGGCTTTTGGCGCATGTGTCATATGGCACCTATGGGCCCATTCATGCTATCGCTGGTCCAATGCCATTCCAATCAAGCTGGGAGAGAACCATTAAACTTCGCCGTGTTCCACTAAGCGTTCAGCCAGCGTGGACCTCTCAGTCCTGGAATTCGAAAGCTTTACATCCTCTTGCCCGCATATATAAGACAGTTGGAACATCTTTCCGCTTCTCCGATAAGAAGACACATGATTTATGGCGGAAAATGTCACATGAGGAGCGCGCTGAATTGCACCTATTCGCTGACATGCAGGTCTTGTTTCATGATCACGAGCATATGCGTCCCGATCATATCTGGCATTGTATTATGCGTTTGACAGCACATAGTCGATTACTTCGAAACATCGCAAAACTAGTTTATCGAGATTTTGAGTCTTCCGTGCTTTCAGCAGTAGATAGGGCCCCGTACGCATGTCGTTTATGCCAAGGGATTCCCTTTTTATCTACAAGAGTTTCTACTCATGATAACACCGGAAGTCGTGGATTATGAGGTCTTTGTGGACAGATAATAGTAAAGTGATATCTTAAAATAGAATCACATGCGTCATAAAACAGTTTCTCAGAAAAAATAAATAGATCTTCTCTTCCTCTTCATATATCATTCTTCGCGGGCTCCTTTTGTGTCGTACGTTTCCGTCACATGATGCTGATCGCATTGACATCATGTAGAAAAACTAGACTGCTCAGCGCCAGTATTGACTCACAGACTCTCTTGCCTGCCTTTGCACAAGATACCTTGTTCTCAGTTTTAAGAGGCGGTGAGGAAACTTTTCAAGCCAACCTAGTAACGGTGAATCATGATCAGAGCCACGTACAATATGCAATATTTATAGCCTTAGATGCGTCTTAGGCAGCAAAAAACTGTTTTCAATGGTTCAAGTAGCACCCACGTAGGATATGTATTGCAGCGAGAACTTAATTCGAGAGTGGCGACACCAAGCAGCCTGCAAGGATCTGCCACATTTTCAATATCACCACAATCCAATTGTAACCGAGTCATGCGGACGCAGAGGTGAGACTGAAAAACTGGGAAGTGATGTATCACAGATAGCCGCTTCACTAATCAAGGAACCTTCAGATGTAAGTTTTTGTATGGACAGTCCCTTCGTTCTACCAGCTGAGAAAGTTGATCCAGTCTGCTATCTGCTTCAAGCTTAAAATACCCAAGTATTCCAAGAACCTCGCAGTGTGAGTGATTTCCAAATCCTTAAAATCTTGCATATATCCCATCCTATAATTCAGAGACCACTCACTTCTTTCTCCCAAGCAATATGAATGAAAGATTGAAGAGGTTTATGTTCAACTCTCAATATGTCCTCGCCTCAATCAACTATATGAATTGTTCAATGACTATTGGGATACCTCTACTAGGTTTGGGTCTTGCAACAGTTGTTCCATTGCAAACTAAGACGTTCATCTGGTCATGGATATATTGGTTTCTGTGCGGAATGGGCATTACGGGTGGTTAGTTCCAAGACCTCGATTCCAAAGGAATACACACTTACTTTACCAATAGGATACCACCGGCTCTGGGCTCACAAATCATATTCAGCCAAAGTCTCGCTGAGGATTCTACTCGCACTATTAGGAGCAGGAGCCGTTCAAGGCTCCATTCGTAAATGGAGCAGAGACCACAGAGCACATCATCGATACGTCGATACAGATAAAGATCCATATAATATCAACAAAGGCCTCTTATACGCGCACATGGGCTGGATCATATTCAAGCGAGATACCCAATCTATAGGTCGAGTTGATATCAGCGACTTAGATGCTGACAAGGTTGTCACATGGCAAAATCAATACTACGGCTGGCTACTACTGCTGATGTCGTTCATCGTTCCCATTCTGGTAGCTGGCGTCGGCTGGGACGATTGGGCTGGAGGATTCGTCTACGCTGGGTGTCTCCGAGTATTTATCATCCAACAAAATACCTACTGCATTAACTCGTTAGCACACTGGCTTGGGGATCAACCATTCCAAAGAACTAAATCTCCGCGAGATAATTTGCTCGCGGCGGTGCTAACTCTAGGAGAGGGATACCATAATTTCCATCATGAATTCCCAAATGACTACAGAAATGGGATACGCCTATTTGACTTTGACCCTACGAAATGGTTTATCATTCTCTTGGCTAGGAGCAGACTGGCATTTGATCTTAAAACGTTCCCAGAGAATGAGATCAGAAAAGGACGCTTCCAGGAACAGTTTCAATCCATGGTAGAGGAATCTAAGACGATCTCGTGGGGGTTGCGTGAGGATCAACTGCCTGAGATGAGTGCAGAAGAAATGCAAACGGCCTGCGAGAAGGGGAGGTTTTTGATTTGTATCGATGGAATCATATATGACATATCAACGTTCAAGAATGAGCACCCCGGTGGGAATGTGATCCTACGAGGTGTTGGGAAAGACGCCAGTACTTTGTTTCATGGCGAAATACATAGCCATACTAATGCAGCTCGCAATCTTCTGTCGAGATTCAGGGCGGGAAGGCTAGAAGAAAATATGGATTGTGAGAGATTAATCTCTTAAATTGACTGGCTCACAATACACTTAGACGAATCTCCTATGACTCCTTACGGAATGCCTCGATGGTTGACGTACACATATCGTTATTGACAGGCTTGTTCAATATGTTAATATGAAAGCAATCTGGAAACTCGGCTAATTTTTGGAAAGAGCATCAGTAATTAAGTAGATTTCGCTACAGCTTTATACACAATAATGATTTTTAATCATCTCACAGTTCAGGCTCTTAGCAATAAAGTTGTTGAGCAACCCACTCATTAACATAATCGGTAAACCACCTGCCCATATAAGCAAACTCTCCGAAAAATAACTCTCTATATTGATTTCAAATCGGCATATATTTCTTATACAAAAAATTGACTACTAGTACAACTAGAACATTCATTGATTTTATACTATAAAATTGTATTTATTATAGCAAAGCAAAATTAGTAGCATATATTTAGTTAAGAACTTAAGTAGCTAGAAGCTCTGGCTCAATTAGAATAGTAATAATACCTTAAGATCTTTGAATCCAATCTTATATAAGCACTTAGGTTTCTTTTCTAGTAATTTTTTACTGAAAGGAGTTGCCTGAAAAGGTATTCGACAGTCGACGAGGCATTGCAAGGCTTCTTGTTTGTCGCACAATATTTATTAATTAGACCTTTCATGCTTTTACTTTTCTATATATATTTTATAAATTACAGTTTAGATATGGCAAAACCCAACTGTCATGGACCTGGATCTACCCTAAATAATTTAATTATAATGATATATAGTCAAACAAACCCCCTGTTCACTGAGATGTGACTCATTATGCTCATGGATCTTACCTTCAAATTTTGGGTATGATCTATTTCTTTGTATGTTTGTGCTGCGACTCTCCAGTCCCCATCCACACAGAAGTAAGATTTACAGTGGCTGGACGGTAATTGCCTTTATGTTTTGATTTCATGTAGGCAACCTTTTCATGACCACGCTCAATGCAGTATATCACAGATGCCATTCACCTAGGGGACGGCAGGGTATTGCCCGACGGTAAAAAATTGATTTGTTGCTCAAGCCTGGCCGCGTGCAACAAGACATCAATAACTCGTTCCTATTATGGTTTACTCCGATGCGACTTGACCTCGATTTCAGAAGCATCGCATCAGCTCTTGGGGTGATAAATAATGCCCTTCTCGCCTTGAAATTCTGACTTGACACCAACCTGGAACGCAAACTTGCAAGCTACTCCAAGTATCCAAGATTTGAAGCTAGTAATCTTGAACATTCCACTCCAAAATGTCCAACGTGGCACACTCCGAAGGGTCCCGCACTCGAGAGCAGTGGGTAGACGACCTGCTCGAACAAATTACACCACAAAAGGCTCCCGAGGATGGTCCGTCTAGCACCTCTGATGTTGAAAGCCCGCTCAACGCGCTGCAGCATCATTTCGACGAGGGCCAGCGTCGCATTGAGTCAACCTATAACAACCTCGAGAAGTCATTTCAACAACTGATCGAACTCAACACGGCCCGCGAGGCGGAGCGCGAGGAAGATCTCGACTTCTTCGATGCATTGAAAGCATCATTGGACAAATTGAAATTGCACTACAACAAGACACGGACCGAATACCTGGAAGAAGTAGCCGAGAAGTTCCTTAAGACCGGGCAGTTATGGTTTCTGAAGGAGGTCTCAAGCATGATGGATTCTGATATCCTCCTCGATTGTCGAATTGTCGATGATATCAAGAAGCGCGACGGCTTGAAGGCACACCTTGTCGGCTTGGGCTTTCATGCAGTATACTCGCTGGACCCAGCTATATACCGACGCCATATCTACGCTGCGCCTGCGGACATAGTTCAAACCCTCAACTTCCGAGCAGAGATACTCCACCACAAATACTACAAAAATGTAGTTGACCAGGCTGCCCTCCGGGCAATGAAATCCAAGTGTGGCGAGATCATCTCACTGTGGAAGAAACATGTCGACTCGATCAAGGAATATCCTGATGATGCCGATGAGGCGAAAGCCGTCCAACTTGTTGATTATCCTGAAGAAATCAAGGCAAAGATCGCCGAGCTAGACGAGATGGATGCATCATGGGAGAAGAAAGAGACTGCAATTCAGTCTTCTAGGGCTCAACAACACGGTTTATTGAGCTATTATCACGCTCGTTATCAGGGAGAACCAGAAGCAGAGTTCTACCTACGCGATGCATATGTGATCATCGCTACGGTTACGGTCGTGGTGTGGCTGTGTGTGTACATTTCCAAGTAGATTGTGATATGATACTCTATCTCCTTTTTTCTTCTACACACAAATTGCTTTTGACTTTGTTATTTGTCTCATCAGATTGCATCTCCACTCATTTTGTCCGCATACACAGATAGCTCCAAATTGCTTTTGATTTTGTTAGTTGCCTAATCAGAAAATGAATATCATCTCATTTTATCCGACCAACTGTTTCAAAGAAAGTGGATTCTGCATATCCGTCGGATTTCCTTTTTGGGCAGTCTTTCAAATGCACGTGCCGAGCTAAACCCTAACACCTGTGAGGATCCCTGTTTGTTTGTTGACTACTGCAGGATACTTGGAATGAAAATAAATTGTATTATAATTATGATTCGTAGTGGGAACCGATTCGTCATTATGCTACCCAGTAATCAAGTAATTTTTGTCCATTCTTCTCCAGATTTCCCGCTGATTTATCTAAAAGAACTCGTTGGCCGCAGCCCAAGCCCACTCTTCTCATAAGCCATATCGACCATCTTCATCTGGTTGATCGAATCCTCTCCACTCACCCAATACTGTGTTGGCCGACCCTTGATCCGATTCACAAATGCCTCGAGCTGATAGCGGTACGACATCCACCAATTTTCGCCAGGCAAATTTGAGAATCTATCACCAGCCTCCTTGAAACTGTAAGCCTTGTGCGACTTTGACTCAGCCCATTTCCTGACAAGTTTCCCATCCGCCTTGTTGCGGATGATATAGGAGTCCTTGACATCGATGCGATGCCAGATAATAGCATGCAAGAAGCCGTGCAACGTAACCACACGCGTCATTACTTTCTCCTGGGTATCTGGCAGTGTCTTGTCAGGAACCGCGACTTCCTTGTGTGTAACCCTAGCTTCTGACGGTTTCCAAAAGATGGGCCCTCGCAACGAAGTAGTAGCCTCGCCTATACCGCCGTTTGGAAAGCGGAACCGTGCCTTGAAATCGGAGTCACATTTGTCGTGGGTGCCATCACCCAAAATGCTCGTTTCGCAGGTCAGACATTCCTCCGGCTCGTCGGCAAAGATCATTCGCAAAATGCCAAAGTTGTATGTTCCAAGCATCATCATGCTGCCGCCGGAGAGGTTGTAGTTGAACTCAATGCCGTCTGCACTGGTCATCAACCATGGTACCATGGAATCGGTGTGAACGTGTACGACATCGGCGGGATTGATGAACGTTCGAAATAGGTGCACGGAAGGGTGGAAACGGTTGTGGAAAGCTTCCAGTAGGACTGGAGCATTTGGCTGGGATAGTTCTGGGAGATTGAAGAGAATCTCGGCTTCTTTTGAGTTTGAGACAGATGGCTTCTCGACCAAGACATGTTTACCAGCGCGAATGGCGCGAACAGCCCATTCAAAGTGCAGACTGTTGGGTAGTGGAATGAAGATAGCATCGATATTCGGGTCGTCAAGGATTTCTAAAGACACAATGACAATTAAATCTGTCTCTAACAGTTTTTAAGATGAAATAGGCATACCCTGATATGTATCTCTGACTTCCGGAATCCCGTTCTGCTTTGCAAACTCTTCGGCTCGGGTACGATTTCTTGCAGCTACGGCTTKTACAATGATTTCAGGATGGGACTTTGCTGGGGTTATCAGTGCCAACGGACTGTTAATTTTAGTACATAATATAAGCAAGCAATGATCTCAAGTAGACTCACGCAATCTTCGCTGCTCCCAGGACACCAAACCTAATGGCGTCGCTCTTCTTCTCGACTGTGGTTGGGGTGAAGGCTGAATAGACTCGATATAGCAAAGATGCCATTATTAATCACTCCACTTGCGGTTTCGAAAATGGAAGGGATACTCGTTCTATGAAATACTATATAGTGCAGTGAATTTTTGTACTTTTGAATCTTAAATGAGGAATAGGAATGCCATGAAATCTTGAGCTCTTTATAGAGCTTTCGGAAAGCTCTATCAACCGGACCAGGACTGATTCATCCGGAGCTCAAAAACTTAATAGCTGATTAACTTTGGCATCATGAGTCTATTGTTATTTCGCATCCATAGAGACCTACAAAATGATAGACACATAGATCACTATCTTATACCCAAAAGGCTATAGCGCGTAACGCACTAAATGTTAGTCACTATTTAGCGCCAACGTTAACACAATGCGATTCAAATCAAGGCTGGCACAGAAACGCTTTACCATACTCAGCTTAGATCCCGGGGGGTTCGGAGGCTTACTCAAGAGAGAGCTTCGAAGCGTAAACTTGCGCTTATAATCACCCCATGTCTTTGCCAGAATAATCCAATATCTCAAGCTGTGACAAGGCGAGTTTGTTCTAGAAAACGAACGATTCGAGTATCGCGCGTATCCACCTTGGTTCAGCTTGCTGATCAGTTCACGTGTCGTTCATACATGTAGTCCTGATGGGATTACCTAGCGTCCTGATAAATCAACGAATTATAACGGTTATCACGGACGAATTCGTGGAACGTCTCATCTGTACCTTGATAAAGCTGCAGGTCTCGGCTCCGCTCTTATTGGTGCAAGGCTAGCTCAAGGTTAGAACCTAGTCTAAGGCTTTCTAAATGGATATGGTGCAGACTAGGGCTATTCGCCGTGTTCTATCGGGCCACTCAAGCCAGGTAAACATACCTCACACTACCGTGCATGAAAGCAGTTGCTTATTAATGTACTTGACAGACAGCGTGTAACGAGAGGGATTGGAGAGATGTGACAGACCCAATCGAAAGGAAGAGGCGACAGAACCGACTACGGCAGAAGGCATGGCGTAAGTAACTTTCCTACTTTTAGTAGGACAGAGACGCGGTCCTGCATACTGTACCAGGTTCTCCGGGACCTTTGTGTCGAAATAGTGCAATTTTTTGACTTGCTTCTGATCTTTGCATGGACTAACTGATCCGTAGGCGAAAGAAAGAAGGCTACTAGCCACGTAGACAAATTGACTCGAGATGACTTTTCATGGGAAGGTTATGGCATGCTCGTTGTCGGCGACCAGCATGAGGCTATAGTCAAGCCGACTACGCATTCGTCGAGCCAGTCTACATTCCTAATTCCGGCAAGAGTGACAGATCACAAGACATGCAACAAACACAAAGTCATACCTCCGCTTCTACCATACACAACATATGCTACACCCGATGACCCTCCACCTCAAATCATCTTCCCGCTCTCCGCAGATCACTGTCTCATCACCCTGGTTCAGTACAATGTAATTCGCGCCATGATCTTCAACATGGCTATTCTATCACTTCTCGATCATCTCCCACATGGATGCACCAGCACTTTCAACGTACCTTCTCTCGGCGTTGTTGCGGATAGAGCCATTCCACTGGATCTTCGTTTTACTGCCCTGCAGCAATCTACGCCTCATCCATATTGGATTAGCGTGATACCTGTTCCGAGACTGCGGGACAACTTGATCCTATCAGCCGGAAGGTATGATGAGCATGAATTTTGCTTTGATCTCGGGTTGAGTCTCTACGAAGGCTTCGATGATATAGAGAGACGCGGGTTGCTGGTCTGGGGTCAGGCATGGTGTGGACACGGCTGGGAGGTCAGTGAGAGCTTTTTAAAGAAATGGGGATTCCTGCTCAAGGGCTGCTCGGAGCTGATTGAGTCGACAAACCACTGGAGAGAACTACGAGGAGACGACAGGCTTGTTGACGCGGTGTAAATTTTGGAGAGATGAGAGAGTGACCGATGGCGCAGTTATCGAAATGGGAGTAGATTGGACTCCGGAGTCCGGATTATGCTGTGGAAAGCCTTCAGCCAATCAGGGCCCTTGTCACAATGCTCCAGCCCTAACTGCGCCATACATAGTGCTTAGCGCAAATGCTTGCATAGTCTTCGCTTTGTGTACGACATCGGCTATCAGCATCAGTGTCAATGACAAAGATGATGATTTTAAAGCTCGAATTATCAATCATTTGTCATGATGGTCCACCCTACGGCGCACAGACAGAAAATCGGACTCTCTAAATGTTCGGCAATCGCTTACGGTGTGTCGGCTAGGTACCTCAGTGGAGTCAATGAATGCCCTCAATCTGGAACTATTGGATACATCGGGGAGTACAAGCTTTGAACTCTTTGCATAGCGGGGCTATAAGTAACTCGACATGTCCCCGGGTACCATTTTTGCTTTCTACATACACCGCCAATTACCAATTCACCATCGCAAATCGCTGTACCGTCTAGTGTAGAACTTCAAATTCATCATGGGTCTCGTTATTCTTGGTGCCAGCAAGGCAACTTGCACACAACGTATTCTCGCTACACTGATCGAGAAAGGTGTGACCGACTATGACTTGAAAACGGTCGATATGAGTGTCGGAGAGCACAAGGTATATTTCTTTTTCTGTAAAAGAAATCATGATGGATGCGGATTCAACTGACCCGTTAAATTACCAGCAACCTGAATATCTTAAAAAACAGCCATTCGGGGTCATCCCCGTTCTAGAAGATGGTGATTTCTTGTTGCATGGTAGGGTTTTTCCCCTCTTCTTCTTTTGGAAAACAGCGGGATTCTAATACTGAGTAGAATCACGAGCAATCTGCTACTACATTGCATCCAAATATGCCGACCAAGGCGTAAAGCTTCTCCCCGACGCAATAGACCTCAAAGGAAACGCGAATTTCCAAAAATGGGCCAGTGTCGAAAGAGACAACTGGGATAATTATGCTTCTCCAATGGTCTTTCAGAAGATTTTCAAAGTGTAAGTTCCAGAAGCCTCGCCTATCATGGATATGGGTTTCAGTTACTGACTGGTATTTCCCAGGATGCGTGGCGGTAGCCCAGACCCGAAACTTCTCGAGCACTATGAAGCCGGTTTTTTGCCCAAGTTGGATGTCTTTGAGGGCATCCTTGCGAAGCAACAATATATGGGCGGTGATGAGTTCTCGCTCATCGATGTTTATTATTTGCCATACACCCAGAAACTATTCGACGCCGGGTATGGTCATTTCATCACTGACAGGCCCCATGTCAAGGCTTGGTGGGAGCGAATCAGTCGACGAGAGTCATGGCAAAAGGTCCTCGCTTTGCCTTAGAAGTTTCCATAGATAACTGTATCCCAGGAATAAAGTTGATTTTTGTCCTGTGTTCTTTTCATGGCGTGGGAACGGTTGTCTATAATCATCCGCTAGTGAAAGAAACCATGAGTGGTATTTTCAAATCAACAACAAATTCGGACACACAAGATCAGAGCTGAAAAGCGGAATTCTGGCAACACTCTTTTCCCAAATATCCTCCAGCTTTCTCAAAACTCTACCGCATTGTCCGATCGAGAAATATGAAGCAGAAGTCGAGAGAAGAGTCCGGAAAAAGTCGCGCTCATCTCCAAAAGCAACTGATCCGGTAACATAAATAGCCCACATAAGATTCTGAGGCGTAGATGTATGTCTGGTCAGGCTGAATGCTTTTATAAACAACCTTACGCAGTTGCGAACTTCGCTGGAGCTCTCGTCGACACCCTTCGTTGCTAGGTGCAAATATATGATGCCAGCGAGTGTGTAGAGGTACATTGTGACACGAATCGACATCGGGGCCGAAAGAGTGTACTCATCTGAGCACTGCAATTTTTCGATGGAAGGTCCATTTTCTTGTAACCAGCCGTGAAGACTAGAACGGATTTGCGCATGAGATGTACTATTGCAGCAATTGGTTGTACTTCCATCGAATGGTACTTGAACAGAGATCGGCGTAGGAAGGGCTGCTATCTGGCCAATAAGCAACATCACCCAGTATTCTTGGCCGAACAGACTTCGAATCTTCATATTTTCTGAGGACAATCCGGCTGGATTATGAACCATTCCAAGCAGACGAGGCGGCTTGCCCATTGTAACGCAGGAGATCACATCCAAATATATCGTGATAGCAATCAATACATTCATGGAAACCTGATGTTGAACTAGAGGATATTCGGGATTTAATTCATCTTCGAAATCGTCCCATCCGTAAGTCAAACTAGTGATAGGGTCTGGCTCTGAGATCGCTGTTCTTTCGCGCACCCCATCAACACCTGATACCATGCCGATTGCGGCGTTTAGATGGATTTGCCAATTATCTGTCTCGTCTATACACATCTACCAAGATAATGATTAGTTGCTTAATCATAAAAGACTGAAAGATTTGACCAACTTCGAGAATTACTAGTTGAATAACACATGCAAGGACCCCTGCACCTCCCTTAGGACACTGAGAAGTATTCGGTTTGTACGGCCCGATAATTTGGATTGCCAATACCAGATCTTGAAGACAAATCGAGTGGTGTTTTTGCGCATATTTAAGCACACGATCTCTCTTTGCTTCATCTGCTGACTGAGACGTGAGAAACCCTTGATGAATGGCGGCTAACCCGAGAACTGAGTGATAGAATGGTTTTATATGCATGATGATTGGCAGAATCCAGTTTCGATCGTTCCGAATGATGGAAGTCTGGCTGATGGGGAGCTGCATAGGGTATACGTGGTCCACGAAATGCATCAAGAGTCTTGTATCGGAGAGCGATAAATCGCCCATGAAGAGCATGGGATTTGCCCTGTCGTGAATGGTTATGTTCCTCTGGTGTGAAGAAAAGGAAGGCTCCGACGGCGAGTCTTCTTTTTGTAAGTCCGAATTGACTACATCACCGCTAACATTCGGCATGGCACGAAGCGAATCCGAGTTTGAGCTTGACGACGAAATAGCTTCCTTCTGAGAACGCTGTTGCTGAGGTTTGGCTCTATCACGTTGCCGCGACGTGTATTTCACAGTCTGCTTAAGACTCTGAATCTGGGATTTCTCAACGTCACCGCCATCCATCCAGTCCGGCTTTAATCCGTAGCCATAGCAGGGAATTGCTAAGGTGTGGCATAGCTGGCATACAGGACGTCGTTCATCGCACTTCTTGCGGCGGAGACGACATGTCCAGCAGCCTTTGGTGCTTCTCAACGGCCGGCTCATTCTGAGACTATCGAAGCGTAATATGAGATACAGGATACAAAAGTCTCTGGCCAGAGATTCGCTCGGCTACAGCCTGCTGCGAAAGATCGTCTGGCAGCGGCTACTTATGTAAAATCTGCGAAAAGAACCTTGACGAGTTAACTAATTAAGTACTTGTACGAAGGTGGTTATCATCTATGAGCCGAGTGCCGCTAATCCACATTTGCACTAGCGCAGCCTAGATTTCCATACGGCGCGCCACAGAAGCACAAGCACATTTCTACTCCGATTGATCGCAGACAAGTCAAAGAGCTCAGTGACTGCCAGTCGCAACATTTTCAAACATCCTACCAACGACCACATCCACGATCTAGCTCTGCATATTGCGGTACATAACCGAGCTCACAGGAGCGATCATATTTAACTCATATTCGAGGCCGATTTGGCCTACTTCAAGCTATCTCTCAAGCCTTTCTCTCTTCAACCTCCCACCTCAACACACTTATCATGGATTATGAAATGGACATCGAGCCCGCTGGGCCGCAAATAACAGTTCGCGAGGTGACTATTCTTTTGGCTCTCCAGTACTTTTTCCATAATCTAACAGCTCACAGACAGAGCCGTATCGCGTCGACTTCAAATTATCCAACGTCGACCTCACACTCGCAAACGCGCTACGACGAACAATGATCGCCGAAGTGCCCACGGTAGCCATCGACATTGTCGAAGTCGAAGTGAATACATCCGTGCTTCCAGACGAGTTTTTAGCACACCGACTCGGTCTCATACCGCTGAACAGCAAGCATTGCGACAACGACATGGAGTACAACCGAGACTGTACATGCGAGAGCTGGTGCTCGAGATGTAGTGTGCGGCTGACGCTGCATGCACGCTGCAACCAGGCCGATGACGTTATGAAGGTTTATTCGCGAGATTTGGTGGTCACTGGTGACAGGGCCAATGAGTGGGTTGGMAATCCAGTCATTACAGATCCTGAGGGAAAGGGACCGTTGATTGCAAAGTTGATCAAAGGGCAGGAGTTGAAGTTGACATGTATTGCGCGCAAGGGTATTGCGAAGGAGCATGCGAAATGGTCTCCTACGTCGGCGGTGGGGTTCGAGTATGATCCGCACAATAATCTGGGACATATCGATTATTGGTATGAGGAGGATCCTGCAAAGGAATGGTATGTCTTCTTCCTTGTATCATTGAGAGGCACCTCAAGCTAATTTAAGAAAAGGCCCATCTCAGAAAACGGAAAATGGGAAACCCCCAACCCTCCCGACCAGCCCTTCGACTACGATGCCGAACCAAACACATTCTACGTCGACGTCGAATCAATCGGTAATCTCGAACCAGACATGATCGTGCAACAAGGCATTCTTACTCTTCAAACCAAACTGGCCACTATAATCGATACCCTCACCAACCCCAGCGGACCCGGTGCGCAAGTAAATGGTCTCGGAGGCGAGGGTGACGAGGACATGGGTCTTGGAGGCGGCGTTCGATCTCCCGATGCATATGAGCCGCCTGAGATTGACGGTGGGCTTGGTGGTGGATTTACGGCGTATGGGCAGGGCGCGAATGGGGGAAATAGGAGCGCTTGGGGTGGTGGGATGACTCCTTATGGAGCAACGCCGTATGGAACGACTAATTATGGCGGTGGATTTTAAATTTCCTTACCAAAAGAGTGGTTGTTGGCCTATAGCTCAAGCTGGCCATCATTCCCATCAACTAAGCATATCTTGGCGTTGTGGTTTCAGTGCGTGTGATACTACCTACCTTTCATATCAATACATTCATACAAAAAATATTACAAGCATCATAATACTACATTGTACATTATACATTTTGTATAAAGTAATAATGAATTTTATTCATGTGTAGCTATATCCCTAGGTATCTGTCTGCTCAAAGAATTCAATTCCAGGTTCGTTCGCCAGAGCTCCTTGATGCATCCCGAACCATATTCTCCAATAAATCAGACTAGCATAGTATGAGACCCAAGAGAAGACAACAAAATGGGATCAAAGCATAGATGACAAATACTTGAACGATATGAAAGATCAAACTCCACAGCTCCGTTCGATACACTGTCTTGACAAACACCGATAAAGAACAGCCCCAGCAAAGAATGGCGCCAGACAAAAAATCAAATAAAGTAAAGGGAAGATATGTCTGCTAGAGACGCTGCTAATCATCAGCCGTCTCGTCGAGCTCCAGATACCTATCCGTAATCCGGCTGGCGCCAAAGACCATGTCCATGTACTTTTTCTTTTGCGTCTCACGCACCTCCCGGAGATAGTCATATGTATTTTCTACACCTTCAATCTGATCCTCGATTGCGCCCAAGACGCTATTCGTCGCGTCAATGGCGCCGCCAATCGACATAAAGGAATCATTCTTCTGTCGTACGAGGGGGCTCACCAATTTCCGGCGCAGGGTTTCGAGGTTGACTTTTAGATTCAGAAGGCGGGCTTGGTGGTCCATTAGTTGGTGTTTGTTGCTTACTGTGCGCCGGCGGACGTCAGCGAGCAGCTTTCGGTTCTTTTCGTATTTGCGAACTAGGCCTCTGTTAGGGCCTAGCACGCGAGTCCAGAGGGAGCTGAGCATTTCGCCTTCTTCGCGTTCTTGGGTGTCGGATTCGCGGACGACGACACGTTGAAGATTTAGGAACTGGCGATCAATAGACTCGAAGAGTGCGACCAGGGCGTTGGAGTGTACTAATTCGCTATTGATCGATTCCTCGAGGACATTTAGGAACTCAGTGAATGTTCGCATCAAGGCTGTGCGAGTGCGATGCGCAGACGTTGGGCCAAAAACAGTCGTTACCACCGTTCCCAACATGGTCAGGGATCCGGGAACTGGATTGCTGCTTGAAGGGGCTTCGCCGTCGATAGTCGTTTCGGCTCCATGCTCCAAGCTAACAAGCTGGGATATCATATTGTGTATGTTGTCAATCATGACGCTTGGCAGACTACTCGGCGGCTGCGAGTTGATTACCGTAAGCTCACGACGGACCCAGTCCATTACCAGCAGGATCGAATCGATGTCCGAGTCCACATTGGAGAAGAATCGAGTCAATTCGAGGGAAAGAGTCTTTAGTGAATCGGATAATTCGTCCAGTTGGGTGACTATAATGGGCGCACTTGTCATGTTACTGCCGCGCACAGATTCACCCAAATCCCAGACGGCGATTCCTGTCTCTTGTAAATTGCTGATATGTTGTATGCCATTCTCGGAATAGTGGATCAATGGCTCGAAATTGCGCGCAAATGCACATAGTTTCATCAAATTAGGTACTGTCGGCGTAGCCGAAGGTATAGATAACGAGCGCATAAATAACATTCCAAAGAGTCCAACGAGGACGGTTGTAAACGTGCTGAGTTTGGTGCTGAACAGTCGATTGAATGGAAGACGAATCGCATTCCAAACAGCTTGTATGGGTTCTCGTTGCGCTACTTCGGCGGATACTCGGAAACGAACGTCTAAACAGACAGAAAAGTCAGTTCAATGTGCATTCTGATACATTAAAATCACCTACAATTTGAATGTGGCTCATCTGCTCGTGGTTCGGGAGATACCGATCGTCCTTTGAGAGGCGAATCTGTGCCTGGCGGTAGAGGAACACTGGCTGCAAGTGAAACATCAGGTAATTCGACGCTCTTTAGTGGTGATGGCGGAGGTGGTGCTTCGGGTGCATCCTCATATTGAGGACTCGCCTCGCGCGATGCCGAAGCGCTGTGCGGTTGTAGCGTGGGTCTCATGTATAATCGATCGTAAGGCGTATGGCGATACCAATGACTTCCATTCAGCGAGTCGCTGGGTTGTCTGAGACCGGGCGGCGACCAGCGCTCTTGAGGGCTACTAGCCCGGCCGTCGTCTGAATACTCTGATCGGAACCCGGAATGTTGCGAGGGCATGTCAGGAACAGGTGACCGTGTCGTGGGAGCCGCAAAATCCTCCAGCGACGCCGACAACGATGGATGGTCGTCATATGCGTCCATGGCCACTTCCATCGAAGCTGCGGTGGGAAAGTCGAGTGGAGATGGTGTTGTACTCATGCGCTCCGTGTTTCAAGTCAAGTTTTTGGGTGATTGTGTATATTCGAAAGATGACAGCGCAAATACTGGATTGATGCGCAGATCATCAGCGCAGCGTCGGTTATATAGTCTAGTTCCTGGTTGTTGATGCTGACAATGCGACGGAGACACTCGAGGGCTGTCACAAAACAATGCGATAAGATAGGCCGAGATAACGGATCGAGCCGTCCGAACGTTGTTTGATTGAGCAAGCAATTCGTTGTTGCTGGTTAAGTAACAATGAAACGACAAAACGAGAGAAACTGTAGGCAATGTCGCTGAAACAAATATGCAGGTGTCAAATCGTCTGTACTTTGCAGGTCTTAAAAGAAGATGAATGAAAGACGGGGAGACAGGGCGATAAGGCTCTGCCCCTCCCGGCATGTAGAACAGTAGAAGACTAGTCAGAAATCGGGCACATCCCAGCCAATGCCGACTAGACAGAATGGCCCAGTCTGGCTAGAAAAGGAATAAATCATCTTCAAGGTCGACATCGAATTGCAGCCTGCATGAAAAATGGGGGCTGGTCCAATCGGCGCGGAGGAGGGCAGTTCGTGGATCGAATGAGTCGACTGTTGTCAGCCAACCATGTCGATATCCCGTGACTCCCTTGCTGCTAGTACAACGCATCGTTGGGAGAAGCTAGTATGGTTAACTTGCGAGTTGCTGCAATGCAAATCCGGACCTGCATGTTCGAGTCTTGTGTCGGAAGGGAAGAACAAGTTGGACGGCAATATCTAGATGGTTCAGGATAAACTACAGAGAACCGCGGAACCGCCTTATATAACATGTTAGCGGTTCATGCCATCAAAACAGGATAAGAAACTCACATTCTGCGTGGCCAGGCAATGCGAAAATTTACGACACTTTTATCCAACCAAATAGAGGTTTAAGATTCAGCAGAGAGGAGAATCGTATTTGCGCTCATTATTTCTTTTAACAAAGCCCCATCCCAAAAAGACAAATGAAAAAAATAATATAATATCAACAGAAGAGTACACTGAAGAAAGAAAAAGAGTCTATGATCTTATTCCGCTCCATCCTTGTATCGTATAAGCGGCCGTTTTGGTTTCCCCATGCGCTAAGAACAAAAGAAGCATGTCAAAAACCCAAGATCTATTTTCGCATAGAGAAGGATAGTCGATGTATTGTTACAGGCGAACGTGTCCCGCTTCCGTGAAATCCGAATGCTCTATACAATTCGAAGATCGCGATGCCGGGGCCGAGCATAATTTAAAATGGCGAGGCGCTTAAGCGGTCTCCTCCTTGAGGTAGCTGTACGAACACTGTTAGCAGCTAGATCTAAGCACAAAACGGGATAAGCCTTACGTGATAAGGTCGTTACGGTCCTTGGGCTTCTTAAGACCACCGAAAGCCATCTTAGTTCCGGGAATGAACTTCTTGGGGTTCTCGAGGTAGTCGAACTGGAAGAACAGTCAGTGTCATTCTAAAGTTGATTTGAATGATGTGAACATACCAAGGTATTCTCGTCCCAGGTCACGTTAGCCTGCTTGTTGGCGTCGGTGTAGGAGTAGCCCTCGACGGAACCGGTGCTACGACCGAAAAGACCGTGCAAGTTAGGACCAATCTTGTTGGCACCACCAGCCTCGACAGTGTGGCACTGAGAGCAACGGGTCTAGGAGATATATTAGTACAGTCAGAAGCTATTGACCGAGGATGGTATCTTACCTTGAAAAGGTTGGCACCCTTCTTGGCGTCACCTGGGAAATTCAATTAGCTTGTGTTCGCAAAAGGAGAGAACCGCCATTGAGTCGGATAAAGTCAGGTCATCGCATAATTATAGTCATGTCCCGGTTGATTGCGGAGAATATGATCCGGTGTGTAACAGTCAATTCCGCACGCGACGTAACAGGTGGCGCATGGCAGGCGTAGTGAACGATCTCGAGCAATTCGACAAAACGGATTCCAGCGATTAATGTATTCCGTGCGAATCAACGGGATATGAGTACAGCGATGCGATGACTATCCTCGGTTCTTCTCGGCGTCCATGTTGTCGACGTGGTAGCTTACCAGGAGCGAACTTAGCAGCTTCCTTGCCCATTGTGAATGATGTGAATGAGAAATAAAATTATAAAAGGAGTAAGATGAACAGGACGAAGAACTTGATGAAGCAAGTGGACGTTGATTAAGAGAAAGAGTTGTGATAGAACAGAGAGGAAGAGAAAAAGAAGGAAGAAGTTCCGGGAAATCCAAGGCAAGGGTAGAAAAAAATGACTTCAGGGCTGTTGGCCAGCAAGATGCGCAAACTGGGTTAGGGGCAGAAAACTATGACCGCAGCGGCGATGTGGCAGCCAATCAGGGAGAAGCTAATTGTCGGAACCGCTGACGGTACGTCGCGATGTCAGGTGACTTTTGCGGGCGCAACCGGGATCTCTTCACCGAGTTTGTACTCTGCTATACATAGTCCTATGTATAAATAAGTTTCTGCAACGGCACCTTTTCAAACTGTCCATTGAGTTCATTGGTAATGACTTCACTGTGAGCTGATTTACTTCATCTTGAACATGCTTTGTCCCTGTGAGCGACTGATGAGTATTGATGACGGGATATCGATACAAACACAGTGGCCAATCAGAAGCTGCTTATTCGTGGTTTTATTACCCGATTCATCCGATCTGCCGTGCCCGTCAGTCCGGACGATCACATGATCTATACCTTGGCATCGGTTATCGGCGAGTTGGCCGAGTTTCTATCCATTCCATGCATGCAGTTATTTCATAAAGTCAAGAATGTCTTTTCTATTGTAATACTATACAGTCTTCTCAGGGGTAATTTTATCTTGAGGAGATTCCATACAGCTGTACAAAAACTTCTAACTTATCCCCAATGCCAAAGTTATAGTCGTGTAGTATACAAGTCAAGGTACTGATGAACACAATTACCAAATACCCAACCATCTCTTCGGAGCCCGCTTCTCCCCTCCCTCAACCACCACCTGCCCAGCTCTCTGCTCGCCTCCCTCCGGAGCAGCTACAGCCTCAGCAGCCGCAGCCATAGGCGGCGCAATCGGCGACTGATCATCCTCCACAACCGGCGACGCAACCTTGGACGGCTCCTCCATTCCATGCGCAATGCGGTACTGGCGACGCTTTTCGGCATCTTCGACTCGTTTGTGTCGGTTTTCGCGGGCTACCATGGAGGTGTGTTGAACGTGCATTTTCCAGACGGAGATGGCTTGGGAGATGGTGTCGATGGGAGAGGTGAGAAGCCCAGACCAGGGGGGGAGGAGATGCGCGAATTGAGAGGTCCGTTTAAAGTTCTCGGTGAATGTGAATGTTGCTAGAGATGTCAAGACTCCCTGTAGTCATAGAGTATTAGTCTTCCTTCTTGCTTTTTTCCAAACATACACACTCGATGGGAGGAAATACCATGGCAATCCAAACATGGATCCACCTCGAAGTCAAAAACTTAAATAGCACCGTTCCCTCCGCAGGGAACATGTTCGGATACCTCTTCGTCTTCTGCTCCTCTTTCTCCTTGGCCGTGAGCGGCCTACCGGGGTAATTGAATGGTTCTCGCACGACTTTGTTGCCATTGCGAGTCTGAATAACGCGTCGTGCTGGATGGGACGGAGGACGGAATTTGTCTGGTTGAGGTAATACGCGGGGTTTTTCTTCTTTGGCTTGACGCCATGTTGTGTTGGAAAAATTGCGGCGGTTGAAGTATTGGATAGTGCGCGATTGGATGCCTCGCGGGAGGAGGAAGCGGGGGATGTTGGATGTGACGGTTCCCTTCATCTTGCCGTCTTGATACTCACGCGTGTGTATTGGAATTCGTCCTCGTGGACTGTGACCTGATATATGCTTCTGATAAAGAAGAGCTGGAGCTGAACGGAACGATTTTCTTTTCGGAGCCGGCGATATCACGTGATTGAACATCATAGGGTTAGGGTACACACGAAAATGGAGGCCATGAATAAGGCACTACTGTTAGAAGAAAAGAGGATTAGATAGGATAGCTAGGTAGTGAATGGATTTGCTGCTATGCAGAAATTGCTAGTAGTATCTAAACAACTATCCTATGTCACCACGACCTGTCTTGTGGCCGTGACAGGCTGGAGATGATGTATACCAACATCTATCCACTTTTATCAATTGCATTTTGATATGCGCCATTTGTGCCACAGTCATTCAAGCTTGATAGCAGAAATTTCGAGTATGGTGAATATAACGAGCGATTCTTTCGTGATACTCAGCTAACTTCAACCCCCTCCAAACCCTCCATAACCTCATCACCAACACCGCCCTTGGCCAACACCATCTTGACAATCTTTGATATCACACTGCGCGACACACCGCCTCTTCTCGGCTTCCATACACCGGGCACTTCCTCATCTGTGCCCGCAAATGCAGTCTCTATGCGCGTTCCAGGGGCAGCAGCAGTAGGACCAGCAGCAAGAGCAGCCAAAGTAGCCGCATTCTCCGAGTCCGGAACACCATGTTGCGTCAGTCTTGATGGTGGATCAATTGTGCGGATGGAAAGAAGCTTTAAATTTGCGTCTGTGTTTTCAATGTCTTGTTCGCGCCCGATTGATACCGCGAGCACCGCATCGGCAACTGCGATTTCTTCCCGGGTTGGGTCGAAGATGACATTCTGGCCTGTGGATATGACGAGGAGTGTGACTGGTGGGCGCGCTTGACGTTGAGTTTGTTTTTGTGCGGCACCTATTGGTCGTGGATAGATGTATTCTGATAGATTCCAGTCATCTTCAAAGAAAGGATCTTCTTCGCCTTGCGATTTAAGTTTTGGTAACCGGGTTGAGAGTAAAGCTAGATGGGTGGTTAATGAGAGAAGTGGGAGAGGATAGGATTGTGGCGGKGATAGGAGTAGGACCTGTACAAATCATTAGTACCTGTCATCAACAAACCAAAGGTATAACAAAAACGTACGTCAATATAAAGTCTCCAATGCCACCGACGATTAATAACCAGTCTGCCTTTCAGCCCACCAACCATCTTTTCATCCTCATTACCACTCGCCGCAGATCCCACAAGAGACTCCCTCATCATCTCCGACAAAAACACGGGCAGAGCATCATCATCCCTAAACCCCGGGATCTCAATAGACATCTGCACCCACGAACCCTGTCCCGGAGTCGCACGACTCCCCTCGCCACTACCACCACCTCCATCCCCCCCATCTTCATCGCCGTAATCAGCACCTTGCTCCAATTCCTGCAACTGCCTCAAATCCAACGCATCCGTCGCAAGCGTCCTCTCCAACTCCGCCTTTACGCCCACAATCGCCTCCGAGCCATCTGCGAACCCAATGCGTGCGCTTCCGTTTGTGCCTGGTAATATCCCCGTTTCGGCAGTTAGGAAGCGGAATTGTGTTGGTGAGCGGCCGTCTGGGCGAATGGGTCCGGAGGAGGAGAGGGAGGTGTAGAGGTAGGAGAGTTCGGCGGGGGAGATGTGTGGTGTTTGGGAGGCGGAGGTTTGCTGTGCGAGGGGCATCTTTAGTCGCGTTTATGGCGTTGCGACGCCTTGTTGAGCTCGGGCTCAGTTGAATTAATTTGGAATGCGACGTCAGAAAGAAAGCAGTTTTGCAGCACGATCGGACAGCAGTATGTAGTCAATCCCTCTGCTGTATTTTTCTGTTATTATGATGATATCTCGGAGAGTTCCGCTTTCGATAATAAGAGCGGGCTGAGATTGAGGAGTTGAAAAAGTGCTGTTTGGTCAAATTTCCTTTATCGCAGCTCAGATCGAAATTATTTCCATCTTAATTCCAAGCGGGTCACAGATGTTATTGGTGCCTCAGGCATCACATCCTCTTGCTCAACCAAGTTGGACATCACATCTAATAGCACAACTTTTTACTTGATTTCATTAACTTTAGGATAACAGTCCATAAATAAGAAATGTATTATGTGCAGGCAGATTACTGCCGAGTGTGTAAATATATAATTACAAGGTATAATATAAGCGACGGGGAAATCAATAATATCCTCATGCTGCCAGAGCAAATGAGCGACTTGACCGTGTCAACAGCCATAACACAGCGATGTACAGAGAAAGTGATGTTTCTGTGAGAGATGCAAGGGAATGTAGAACCATGTGTGTCTGGCCAAGGAAAGGGAGCTGAAAAGCAAGGATAGTGACAAAGATCAGTAAGAGATGAACCGCTATGCATAAATGTTTCTCGCGTCTAGCGCGGATATGACAAAGATTGAAGTCTGCAGCTGGGCTAACACATAAACAGAACAAGGGGGTATGTAGAGCAAATAAATGATGACTCAAAGAGAAACGAAATCCAGTAAATGGTACATCTATATGTGGCAGGATAAGGGGGTATGTAAATCAGCAAAAGAGAAGCGAGGTAACAACAAGCTTACGAAAATGCCGCCAGTATAAGAAAGGTAGAAAATGAGAAAAACTGGGAAAGAGAGGAGGAAGAATCAAATCAATAGACCATACGCCGTTCCGTTGTCGTCCACTTTTCCCAAATTCATGCCTTCGCCGATGCAAATGAGTCAAGGAGATAGAGCGTGAAGACCGAGAAAACAAGACGAGCCATGTAAGTCAAAAACGCAAAGGCAAATCATGAAAAGCGCGGGTCTACCTGTATGTAGAGCCAGATAGAATGCTGTTGGCAACAGAGCTAGCCCATTCCTGCTCTCCATATGGAGGAGTAGGCCATTGTCGGCTAGAGTCTTCGTCCATCTTCGAGACATCTCTTTGTCTGATCGGAGTATTGTCGATGTCACCGAAGGAAACACCGTCACGTTTAGCGGACGGAGAGGGGGTTGGATACGGATTCAGAGTTCGTGTTGAATCATTCACCAGATGAGACAGACGGTGGTCCTCCTTATATAGTGATGAAGTAGACTCTGCATCATAGTGCTGTGCAAGACGCCTAGCTGCTTTGTCGGCTGAATGAAGAACTTCATCCAGTAGCTCGTCTTCCTCTTCCGGCGTTTCGTAGCGATGAACGGGGTGTGATGTCATCTGCAAAGCTCTGCGCGTTCTGCTGGAAATCGGACCGCCCACACTAGGGGTTGGGCTCTCGGTCATTGATCGCATAGGCACTTGTGGCACAGATTGTCTTTTGGATAGAATCTGGTTAGGGATCGAGGTGATTTGAGGAGGAGGGTTGGCTGCTGAAGACAAGCCATATTTTACACCCTGTAGGGTCTTGTCCAACTCCGAGAAGTCGCCCGTCTTCGTATCAATCATGCCCGAGTCCAGGACGACCGACGAACGGTTAGGCCACGGAGAGCAACCTGCATTAGCTTCAATGTCGTAGTTGGATGTTGGTGCGGCTGCAGCCGCCTGGTTACGACCTGATAGTCTTCGAGCACGTTTTCGGAGATGTGAAAAGAAACTTTCCTTTGGTGTTGATGTGTTTGCGCCACCGTTCAGGCCGTTCAGAGCACGTTCCGCCTCCTGTCTGTGAATATCTGCATAGTGATTGCCATGCGAGTTGACAGAAAGTTGTCGACCGATCTTCTTGGATTTTCCAGACTCCTCGACGGTGACATGGTGATCATTGCCATGGGCTACGCTACTGTTGGCTTGGGCAGTGACTGCGTTTGAAAGCGGCGAAACTGGTCTGATAGAAGGAAGGATCGGCATCGGCGCGCCGTTGGCCCATGTTGCTCGCTTGACTGAACGACCTTTGGAGGCTTGTACCTCAGGCACAGTGTTGTAGGAGACTGCTGGTGGTCGTACAGCTGCTTCCGGCTCCAAGAGAGGTGCCGGACTGTCGGTTCGTAGTACCAATGACCTCCGGAACCAAGAAGGCTTGGAAGACAATGCAGGCAGTTCGGTAGTCTCCTTAGTGCCGGCTGGTTTGAAACTCTTCTCGGACATCTTGCGACCGAGTAGCCTGGAAGCAGATGATTTGGGTCTCAATGGATCGACTGCATCCGCAAAGTATTCATGGTTGAGGGCTTGAGTGGATGTTGGTCGGTTGCGAGGATCCCACATCAGACACCAAGTCACAAAGTTACTCAATGACTGTGGCCAATGAGGGCCTTGTAGAATGCTTGACATTGAGTGTGGAGCCATTTTAGGGAAGGTGAATCCAAGCTTCTGCGCAAGCTTGTTGCCTTCACGCCATTCTCCACCTCCGACTTTCGCTCCAGACTTGGTATACCAATTACCAGGACTTCCCATGATCTCACAGATCCGCCATACTTGATCGACTTCATTCACACCAGGGAACAGTGGCTTCAATGTGGCAATCTCAACTGCCATAGCACCCACAGCCCAGATATCCACAGGGGCCGAGTATTCACCAGCACGCAACAACACCTCCGGAGCTCGATACCACCGAGTAGAGACATATGTTGTATAAGGAGATTTTGAGTGTGTTTCGCGAGCGAGGCCAAAGTCGGCAATCTTAACGGTGTAGGTAGGAGGCGTAGAAGGAGGTGTGACAAGGTTGGAGTATCGGCTGAAGGCAGAGGAATCATTCGGGGCGGAAGTTGAGACGAGGATGTTTTCTGGTTTGATGTCGCGGTGGAAGAAGTTGTGAGCGTGAATGTGGTCCAGACCTGACATGATCTGATAGAGAATGCTTTTCACATGCTTTGCTTCGAGGTACTTTTGGTCCCGTGCCTTCATCAGTTGGTAGAGGTTGCCGTCCATGTACTCCATGCAAATATGCAGCTTCTTGCTTAGTGGGTCGAGGAAAATGTCTAGGGCGGGGACAATGTGAGTGTGATGAGGAAGTGTGCGAAGGAAGATGACCTCTCGAAGCTCCAAGCACGGAGCAAACGACTCGAAATTTTTCTTCATCGTTTTAATAGCAACCTATTCATCATGAGTCAAGGTCGCAAGAATAACGGGAACAGCTGCTAGGACTTACCATAGTTCCACGACGTGCTACATTGGACCCTGCGGTCCGAGTTCTGGCAAGCACGACGCTACCAAAAGAGCCATCGCCAACCTCTTTGATCACCTCAAAACGGTCTTCAAGGGTCATTGCACTATGTGACGTTCCCTTGAGGGAATATTCGTGAGAGATAGCCATGTCTGTTCTCAGTTCTCTGCCTGCAGATGGGTTGAAAAAGTACGAATGACCTTGTTTGAATTAGTTCGCAACAGAACATGCAGCTTGCTTCGTCGAGTACTCACTGATTAGAAGGGATTCGGATGATAGCAGGGTGTGTTGTGTATGACTCGCAACGTTCAACAGGACTCTGTCTTCATCCTCCGGGGTTCGATTATAGTGGACAGTTGTGATATGGAAGGTTTGGTGCGTGATTGTAGTGGGACAATTTGGTGTGTCAACGATTGGATGATGCGGTAATGATTAAAGAGTGTGTATAAAAGAGCAATTGAAGTATGTTGAAGGAGTGAATACGGTGAGTGTGCAGTTGTAAACAGATGCAGAAACGAAAGAACTCGAACAGGAGGAGCTAAGAGGGGTGCTCGAAGTTGGGACGAGATGGAAAGGAGATCTTGGAACAGCCGGCGAAGGTTCCACGAGGGCGGAAGCGGATCGGTGGCAACTGTTGAGCTAGCAAGACTCAAATCGTAGGCGGAAGAGAAGCCCCTGGATGAATAATACCACCAAGAAAAGAGTTGATACTAGCGGGAGCGGCCTAAGACCTAATGGGAGATAGACGGGGCCGTGGAGACGAGCAATGTCAACGGTGTGACGGGGACCAAATTTCCACAACGGGGGAACTTGGGAAGGTCCGTCAATTTGGCACGGATCAAGTGTTAGAGCGCGATTTTATAATAACGATCAATTCGGGAATGATCGTGCTCGGGAGGAGACGATCATATGTATATCGATAAGTCGGGGGAACGGCGCGATGACTGTCAGTCGTTTCGCACGAGCCGTTGCGTGATACTGAATTTTCTTTTTCCTTTTGGTTCGTCTCCGCAAAGTCAATTCGCAGGGTGCCAGAGTGATGGAATGATGGGGACACTTGTGGATGAGGAGGAGAAATGGGTTGAGAGTGTGTTTTTGAGAGAAAAGCAAGCTCGAACTAGCGCGCGAGAGATGTTGACCTCGGGCCTAAACGAGCTAAAGCGGTTGTTTATTGATTGACGAGCGTGAAGCGAGAGACACGAACAAAAAGAGTGTATTGGCCTTGAAGGTCCACTGGAAAGGAAAAGGTGAGTGGTGAGTCTGATGAGCAGGCGTTCGTGGGTTCGTTGGCTCGAATTGACGGTGAGCAAGGCTATAAGAGCCTAAACGGTACGGCAGCGAGACTGCGTGTAAGAAGTGGAACGACAGCCCAAGGCAGTGGACAACAGTGGGACACTGGCCGAACAGAGAACGGGGGGGCGCGCGCGGTAATTAACGGACGGCGATAATACGTGTAACTGAGTTAGAGTGTATATAGCGTAGTTGCGAATCTATCCTCAACTGGCAAATTAGGGAGACCACACAAAGCAGTCAGACGGAAATCGGTTGCGGCATTAGTATCCGCGCAGAGTCGCGTAATATGGAGAAATCGCTGTCGCTCGATTTGCTTTGTTGAAGCAGGATTTCCAGACGTCCGACGGCGCTGAACTGCGTCTAAGGGGTTGGGAGAAGCGGGCACATCTTTCAAACTGGAGGACTCAGACAGGCAGGCTCTTGTTGCGCCTTTGATTCTGATTGAACAATGCGAGCAAATCAAAGAGGCGATCGAAAACTAACAAAAGGGTAGTGAGTGTGGAGATTCCGGATCAAGAGGCAGGAGCTGCCTGTGCTTGTTGTCGGGACTCCAGATGAGGTGGTTCGTGTTTTTGGACGGGAGGAAAGCGGCTAGCCCCAAAAGCAGGCTGACGGCAGGTGCTGGGTTGGCAGACAAAGGGAAACTGGGAAGGAGCTGCCCTCCAGATAGGGGCTAGTGCAGTATTATTCATTAATTACATTTACTCCTACTGGGCCATTACTAGTGCATTCGCTTGATTCAGTAAATAATACCCAAGCTACCCAGCTAGGAAGGTACGCGCCGTACGCTCTGTACTAGCGGCGGGCTAGCAGGCACCTTACTCGGTATGGGCTCTCGCAGTGATCCAGAATTCTGACATTCGAACAAAAAATGGAAAAAAAAATTAGGATAGCAGTACGGAGAATACGGCATAGACTGTGTTGTGTAGCGCGTAATAGGGAAGGTTTTGACGGTGTCCCGGAACTCTAGGGATGTGGATCCTGAAAGGACCACCCTCCCCGTGCTCGACACACAAAGGGCGATTTTCATCATTTCGTGACAAGCTCCAGGGCACTGGAAGAGTCCGGTGTTTGGTGCGTTGAGCATTGAGCAAGTGTCAAGTGTCAGGCATCTCCATACGTCCTACGGACTATGTACTAATATAGAATGCGGTATCCATAATTGATTAACGACCCTGTCCGCAATTACCGGCATGTGTGAATAAGCAATGACATCGATAGAAATGCGAAAATGATGCATAGCATGCACGACGTACCTGGGCAAAGTACGTATATCACATTGTGCTCGATGTCGTATGCACTGGGTGACGTTGGAGCCGATTGCTGAACGAGTCTAAATAGAGCTGTTCGGCGCTTCGCACCGCACCGTCCCAGACCCGCACAATGTTGCTTTTCACTTTTCAGTTTTCTGGCTGGCTCCATTATTTCCACATTTTCCCGCAGTGCTGAGTGGACGAGAATCAGCCCCAGTTGCGCTCATGGACGAATGGATTTCTTTTTGGGCTCGGGGTGGACTGACTAAGGAAACTAGGCGGGCTAGCAAGGGGAGTGCTAGCCAGGACGGGCTTAGCGCTGGTAAACAGAACCGTTGCTTTTACTACGTAGTAGTTTTCACTTTTTCAGGGGGCCGAGCGAGAAATTAGAATGCGTACGTATTCACAACCTAGACTCGCCCCATTTCCATCCATCCTTTTCTCGTCGAATAACAAAAGTGCGTGTGTATTACAGTGACTTTGTACGATAGTACACACTACATAGTCAATTACAGTGCGACCACGGAGACTATCGGTCACTAGTGAAAAGTTGTGACTCGTTGCTCCCGACCGCGGGACGCGTGCGAATCTGTCGCGTTTTGGGCATGTATCATCAGGTACCGAGCTACCCGCGCGACTCCGTACAGGATATAGTCTGCCTGCCTTCTTTACATAGTATTACCCAAAGACCACGGAGTACAATGATGATCGATGATCGCTTTGAGCTTTGAGCATTGAACAGAAGAGAAAGACGTCCAAGACTCAGTGGTGGCGGCAGACGATCTGATCACACTCCCTCCTTATCCTGTCTCGAGACCCTTCAGGGCCTCCCCCATGTGGCATACTATCAGTTGAATTCTAAATTGTCCAATCAGCAAGCACCACAGAAATGAATCACGTTCCCATCACAAACTCAAAGCTATATCCGACTATCCAGACGCACTATCCTATCCAAAGCCCGGCGAATGTGGACTACGGACTGGAATGGGGGGGAGCAAAAATAAGAACTCCAAAAGAAAGGGGATTGACATTTCGTTACCTGAGTTACGTGTTTGGCCATCCATCGCATCGGCACATTCCGTCCGCCCAATCACGATGACACCCTAGAAAAAGAATACAATACCATGAACTCCATCAACGATGATTTGCAAGGGTCGATATTATTTTCTTGAAAAAGAATAGAGAATTGTAGCAAATCAAGAAAATAACACCACTAGGCTAAATTCCATATCAGCGATTTGTCGAGTGGAATCCGGCCTTCCGCGTATCAACATCTGACACGCAGTAAAGCCAAACGAATACGCTACCCAACTGCATCCATGTATACCCTAGCAGCAAGGCATCTCCAACGGTTACTGTGATTGCTTCGGTTCATGCATCGGTATTACATAGAAAGTAATCAGATTAGTCAACTTATGTGACTTGCATGCTGTCAAGGCGGAGGGTTGGGGGACTGCATGCTTAGTGAGTCACCCCCTCCAGGTGAAGATGCACGATACGCTCTCTGTTCGTTGGTATTCCGCCTACTGCGTGTAATCCGTCAATATTGGAATCATTCGATTGGCAATGGTAATGCAAGTAATACCGAGATATCACCATTGCTCACAGCCATCTCTATCCGTTTGCTCGATAAGCACGATGCGTCTTCGATATTTATGGTTGGGCATCCGCGCAGCAACTGAGGATTGTCCACCAATTCGGGTCTGTTCCTGACTAATGCGACTTCCCATTGGTACATCCGCGCATATTGTCGGTATGATTGGCTGCTGCTTTCTTCATTCTCCATTGCGTAGGCTAGTCCAAATGTAGATGAAGATATTGAAGACATCCAACGTCGAAGTGCTCAGATCATAATGAGTAGGTGAAATTGTTTGTTATTTGAATCATATCAGAGTATTGATTCGATCTATCAGAGTCATTGCGCCGAAGCAAACTACAATGAGGTCTGTCAAAGGGTGGGCCGTCTTTTCAGCGAGATGTCTCTCAGACATCGAGCATCCGTGAAATAGCAGAGACTTGAGACGTAGGTAACCATCGTAATTCGGTAAATAAGTAAGTGAAACCTCATATAATTATCAAACTACCAGATACTGATCGTTTACAAGGATGCATGACTGAACGAGCTCATTCGAGACCGAGTACTTCGACGTTTGAAGAAATACTGAGTACAGCTTTAGCATGACATGACGATTTCAAACTGAAGATTCTTCAGGTTTATATGCCCCTCCAAGGCAGCCTATGCTCTTGGCTGGTCGGGGCGCTTACGGATTCTTTCTTCCATACATTAAAGCATGATCAAAGCATCATAATCTGGAATCTTACAATGCAAACGAAACCTGAAAGAAAGTTAATGAACGCCTAGCTGCCTGAAACAATTATCAATGAAGCCAGCTCAATCGGTCACTCAGTGACACACATTCCTGAATCTATTGTTATGTTTGTTGAAACAAAAGGAAGGGAATCCCCGGTGACTGAGCATCTAGGAAGGCAGTGACTCTTTCCTTGTTTGCTGTCTACCCACCTTCCACCTTCTCTTTCTTGCTATCTCATTCTCCTCTCTTCACACCTGTTCTTCCTCACTCTTCTTCAGGACTCTTCACTTTATCACGCTTACTTTGTCTTCACTCTTAGTCTCTCTGATCACATCCCCTCTTTTATCTCCTCTCTCAGCTCTCCCCCAATACATTCTACGTCAGAGAACTTGACTTACAAAGCGCTTTCCTTCACCATCAAGGGATCCTTTAGAAACGCTGTCGACCAAGGTACCAGCTTCTTCTTTCAATGTCGATGCAATCTACCATACTAACGAAAGAGACAACAGGATTCGCCATGGCTGGAGGCTGGTCTCCCGCCAAAGTCGCTAGGTGAGTGGACGGGCTAATACGATGAGAAGCAGTCAAGCTTACGTTGTATATCTAATCAGAGTCAAGAGCGTTACTCTACCAGACAAGTACGTCCTCTAGCAACTGTCGTAAAATAGCAAGTGACTGACTTATCCAAGGATCAAATGTGCAGGATGCAACGAGGAACGGACCATTACTGCTTTTTCCGCGTCGCAGATCAATCGACTTCGAAAGAAGTTTGCGACCCAGGGACATCTAGCTTTGGTTCGAAATGCTGTCCGCTGTTTGTACTGTACTGGAGGCATTATGCCGACCGAGATTGAATGCTATCGCTGCCGCATTACCAAGCCTCTAGACGCTTTTACTAAGACCCAGCGTCTTGATTGGAGCTCTGCTGTATGTACTTCCTATATCTTGTTCCGTAACTCCGGTCATATGCTAATTATAAGTTCTTAAAGACTTGCAAAACCTGCACCGCGTACTACATGACCTCCGAAACGTGGGAAGAGGAGCGGGAAAACGCCATCGCAATGGGTATTGACGGGTACACCGAGACAGGTTCGACCATCGACGAGGTAGGTCTTTTATAAACATGGAATGGAACTTGATACTAATACAGGCTAGAGCGTCGATGGTGGAGTCCCACTCGAGTCACTCCGATCGTTTTCAATCTCTACAGAGTCGCCTCGCCTCGGCCATCTTCAACTCGAGGAAGATCGTCAGCTGGGAACCGGCATATGGGTCGAGGATGCTTCTACTAACGAGGCTGATGACGATGAGGTTGCTTCTACCAGCCAGGCACCCAGTTCAGCTGCCAGATTTTCCGGATGGGACTTGCCTGCCGTGAGAGCTGACGAAAGGCGCCCAGCCCCGACAAGCAGCACTGAAAGCAAGCGAAAGAACTGGGCGAAGGTTAAGGTATGTTTTGCTCGGAACCGAACATTCATATATTGATTCAGTTTACATATTGACGATGTTCGCACACAGTCTGCCGACCCGAGCCGTGCTGCTCGCATTCTCAAGATGTCGGACCCCATGCGCCACCTTAATGAAAAGGCGGATAGGGAAAGGGAAGAGCTCTCCTGTCGTTCCATGGTTGGGGCTCGCGACCACACCAAGCTGCATAAGGAGATACGAGCTGGCGATGTTAGTACGACTGATGGTGATGATGCATCGACTGTGAAAGCAGCCTGAACGCAGATAATGCTGGAAACAACCCAAGAAATTTGAGGTTAATGAACACGGATGGATTTAGCAGGTCTCTCATTATGCTACAAGTGACATTTTTTTACAAATTGATTTTACTGTATTCAGGTTTAATATTTAGCAACACAATCCAAGCTCATTCTCGGAGACTGTTTGAAGTAGACCCATATTGGTAGCGTACATTCTTCATCTATAAGCCCCTGCGCTGTCTTATATTTGCACTTTACCAATACCCTTCCTTCGTCTGGAGGGAAGCGCGAACCCGACGTCCGATCAGCCATCCCACAAAGCAAGTCTTCAGTCCAAACCTACGATACCGCCACACCCACAGGATCAGGTATCTTGAGACAAAATACGAGTTTTCCTGAATCACCTCCAAGTGAGCTCATGTATGACCAATTAATTAGGGGATGTTTCGTCTTATCGCAAAGGTCTCTGTTGAGATACCCGACTTGAGATTTAGTTTTCATCGCCTAGTATGCCAAGGGGTAAAATTTTGAAATTCATGCGATAGTATACAGAATCTTGATCTAATTCTCGAGGGGATCAATTACTGATTAGCACATGCATTCATGGATGTGTATCGATGATAGGGACATTTGGATGGGTACTTGAACTCTTGATCGTAGAGGCTTAAGTGCTGTCTGGAAGATTGAATATTTAAATTCGAGATTCCCCAGCCCTAACTGCCAAATATCAAAATATAAAGCACAACTTCCTACCTACATTCACATACAATAAACATCCCCTACGTCAACATTTTTCAGCTGCAAAAACCGCTCCAACCGACTAATTGATAACATCATATTCGAATACTTTATTTACCAGTAATGCTAACATGATATTGGGCTGGAACCAAAGGAGTAATCTTACTGATTTCCTATCCTGGCTAGTATCGCCAGGGTAAAGCGCTAGACTGTTTCTGGCCGAGTCTGCGAAACTGTGTCAGCCACAGCAATATAAATAACAACATATGCAGCAAAATGCTTGGACAATGACGAACGAAGCCTGGGGTGCCTTGGATTATATATAAAACATGGACAGTACTATTTGCTCGCATATAGTGCACCTATCATGTCTGTTCGTCAGTGCTGTAAGATCTGGATGGATAACGGGTTACGGCCCGAAGGCCCACAGCGTCTCTTGTTCCCTGGACAGCTTCCGTCTGGTTGAATGTCAGACGGACTGGGAGTAAACAAAAAAAGCCGTTAATGGATTCACGCTTGAGACTGTCTGACCTCTGCTGAAGATCTACAGAATCTACGGAGATGATTTGCCCGAGACAGATTGACGTCGTGATAAGAGCTAAGTCAACTAGCGAAGTAGATTAATTTCAGTACTAAACAGGAGTGACGTAGTGCAACCTGCCCCGTCTTGGCTGCTTTCCTCATAGAAATTGTCGACTTTCGTTTTCTCTCGTGCTCTCTCCGTTTCTCTGAAATATTCTATACTAATCGCTTCCTCCTGACTGTAAATGAACAAGCTCTTTTTCTGCAGTTTATTGTTTTGCCAGCTCGTGCATGAATATCTAAGCTATCGCGTCGTATCCGGCCCCCTCTTCTGGCGCTGGTCAGGTGTCAACCCGCTGCAGCCTGAGGAGACTCTTCGACGATCAGGCTAGCATCAGGCAAAAATTTTCTGATCCGGACAGATCTTTGACTTTGACCCGGTTATTGTTTTATCTATTCATCGATCGCTATTATCGTCTCTCTGACAAGCGTCTTCTGAATTTCGAACCAAACAAGTCGACTGCTCAGCGGTCCTCTTGCGCGGTGCTGATAACCCTATCCAGAGCATTGAAACGACACCATACAAAATGGCATACGACTCGTACTACGATCCCCCCTCAGGGCCTTCAGCACCCTACGAACCTCCTCGATCCCAGGACGAATACGCAAATGAACGGGTTTATAGTTCGCCTACATCCTACCAACCGCCATATCCATCTCAACACGCTGCAGAGCAAATCCAGATGCCACAACCCCGCATGCCGTCACCATCTTATCAAAATGCACAGCCTGCTCCGGCAAATCCGCCATACGGCCATATTGGGAACGATATCGCCTCTGCCATCAATAGTCCAGTCAACAGTAACAACCCAAACTTCTTGTCGCCGGAGCTCATTTCGCAAGTCACCGCGACTGTGATTCAGCAACTCAAAGCTTACGGCTTGGATGGATCGCAAGGCCAGCAGCAACAACCTCAGCAGCCCCCGCCACCTCCTCCACCACAGCAGCCTCCACTACAACAGCAACAACAACCTCCTCCACCACCTCCTCAACCACAATCAGTTCCTCCCGCGCCGTTCTCTGCACCACCAGCACCTGAACCAACATACTACAATCCACAGCCAGCCTACAGAGATGTACAACCAGCGGAGACTCGGGGACGAGCTACCATGTCGGTACCGCCCGAGAAACGAGAAACGCAGACCAAGATCAGCCCTGAAAAGCGCCCGAGCGGAGGTTCAGAGTCGCGGAATCCCGTTATAGGTCGTACATCTACTGAGAACATGACGACTTTGGAGAAGATATGGGGGAAAATGTTTGACGATGGCCAGCCGACGCCACGGCTGGGKCAGCTTTTGCGCGGAATCGCGGTACATTTGGTATGACAAATCGATTGGATTAGATGGTTAGTCACTTATGCTGATGCCGTACAGATCGAGGATTATCCGCCGGGTAATACTATTGTGGTTGTGCCGGAGAAGATGCAGAAATACTATGCAGATACCAAGGTTCCAACGGATACCTATCCATGGCAGGGTTGGTTGGCCTCTGAATGAGCTTCACTTTGATATGCGCTAACGAATGGTACAGACATATTCGACGACCGCACATCGTCTATCTCGCGAATCTACAGAGACATCGAAGCAGAGCACCATCTTGTTCAGGACCCACAGAATCTAAAGGAACGACCAGATGTACCAGGACTGACACCCCGCGGATTCGAGAAATGGTACACCCTTATGATCCAGGCCAACCCGGACAGAGAGTTTGCACGCCTGCAGAAAACAGTGCTGGATATGCCAATCAGCAACCCCGACGATAAGAAAGAGAGATTCCCCAAAGAGCTGCCGCGACGTCTATTTCCCAGCTCACCGGATAAGAAGATCTTAGAGAAATTAGAGGTTTCAATCATCACTCATTGCGAGGTCGAACTTCCACGAAGTCCGCCCGAAGAACGATCAAAATCGCCCCCTCGAAAGAATAAACCCAGAGATATCTCACCGCCACCTAGGACACAGCCGACCACTATAGAGCGCGTTCCGGCTTCAGTGTCGGCATCCAAGTCCAGTTCGCAAGAAAGGGAAACAAAGTCTCTCGAAGACGATGAAGAAGTTACGGCCACCCCTCGCCCGATTGAGCGTGAGAGAAAGCCATACAGTGCCCAGCCGGGCGGAGGCAAAAAGTACGAGGAGACAGCTGCGAACCTAAAAACATCGGACACAAGCAAGTCAACATCTAGCACATCGACGGTCCGACCAGAACAACCATATACCCGCGGAGCCCCAACAACAGGGAATACGGGCCATGGTCACGCACACCACAGCTCAATATCATCATCCAAGCCCGGCGGTAGACGCAGCTCATCGGTCGGCATAAAAGCCAACGGACCAGGCGACTATCGCCACTCGGAGCCTGACCTCAGCTCCTACGACGCAGGCTACGGAAACCTGACTTCTGCTGGAGGTGTAAGCGGCCATAGTGGCCACCACTACAAGACCAGTGCTGCCGGCAGTACTGCTCTGGATTTATATGATGATGACGCCGACCGTCTCGCATACCGCGACTATGAGCGCGATGATCCGCGGGACTATGACGCCGTTCTCGAGCGGGAACGGGAGCGTGAGCGCGAACGCCGGTATCATGATCATGCAGGCAGTGGAACTGGTAGGAGCACATGGACTGATGAGGACTACTATCGTGGTGGCGGACTATTAGGCGGACAGGGAGGAGGCCCTGAGTATGAGTACAAGTACCGTTAAACAAGTTTTCTTCATTAGGATCGGATATTTGGGTTTGTTGGATTGTGATGATACCTTTTGAGTTTGTTTTTGCTTCTCTGTCTGATATATTTGATGTATGTGATGTAACATAATACTTCTTGTATTTCTTCACAAATGTACTTAATATTTTGGGAAAAAAAGTGTATGTTCTGATGACTTATTCCTTCGGCTCCCTCTTCAGAGCCAACCACTTTTCTAGTCGTTTATTATCCAACCTCACACGCTCCTCCTCCGCCTCTCGCACCTTCTGTTCAGCTTCCCACCTTCTCATAACCCGTCTCTGATACCTCTCCTCCCTCTCCTGCTCACGTTTCTGCCTCTCCTGTTTCCGCTGTCGATCCTTTATCACTTTTCGTTCTTGCGATTGTGCTTGTTTCCGTAATTCCTCAACGTCATCCGCCGATAAGTACCACGGTTGGGAAAGGACATCAATCATAAACCGGGACCGCTCGTTCCAGAATCTGACTTCGGAGTTTGTGTCGGTTAAATGCCAGAAGCGTTCGAGGATTACTGTCATTGTTGGTGTATGGGTCTTGAATTTGGGGGATAGTGTGCCCTTGAATTTTACGCATGTGCCGATACGGAGGATTGAGATGTCGATGGGTGCGCGGGTTGTGGATGTTACGTTTATCATTTCTGCTGCTGTTGTAGTGGCAGCGGTAGTGGTAGGAGTACTKGTTTCGGTGGTATCTGTGATCGGCGCTTTGAGACACACAACTTCAATAATGGAGCCGCTGCTGTCGTCGATTGTGAGCACGGTGCGGCGCTCGTATTCGTCGCGCGTCACGATGTAGCCGGCCAGGCAGACGAATTGAATAGGGTGGTTTTTGTGGAAGTAAATATTCTGGCCTGTTCATTGTCAGACAGACTGATTTCGGAGCATGGTAATGGAGTGGTAGGTGGTATACCCTCGAAACCCCTCCGGGTCTGTAATCGATGTATATCCACGATGCTCATCTTGACCCATGTGAAATGTGTCGGGGATGCGGGGAAGCAGAATGCTGGGTAGAAAGGTAGCTCTTCCTCTCCATTTTTTCCTTCTTGAGTTTCTTTTTGAATTTTTCTTTGTTTCTGTTTGTCGTCATTGTCAGGATCATCTCGGTAGTGTGGGCGCTTCCCGTCTTCTCGGGCGACTATGTTGCTGTTGTTGACACTGGAAGAATAGGCATTTTGAGCCATGGGGAAACCGGTTCATCTTGGTTTTGTTGGCCGGATGCGGGACGTTGTGTTCAGCCAATTTGGTGTTTTGCTTGGTGATAATCTGCTTATATAGTCGAGATGAATAGAACTATGTGTCTGCTCAAACTATTGAAGCCTCGAGTCCGAGGCCCTGAGATGGATATGGTCGGCGACGCGCTCCGCTTCGCGAAATGGTGCGTGATCACATGACCACATTGCTACATTCTATTCTCACTCAATCATTCTAGCTCTAGAAAATATTCTTTTATTGCAAACTAGCATCCATCATCCTCTTCTTCGGGTTTTTAGGCAACCTGTCCTGTCTTTCCCTCTCCTCCTGCGAAATATCGTCAATATTCGTCCCCCGCTCATCCGCCTCCTGCTTCTTATTGCTCTTCTCATGCCCCGCCGTCGCAACAGCGAGAATCTCATTTTCCAGCCCACTCACAAACTCCCATTGTATACCGGCTTCAGTCAACATTTTACACCCCTGAGACTCGCCGACGAAGGTGCCTGGCTCTTTCACCCCGAAATAGACTTTATCTATCCCGTTGTTGTTATATTTATTGTCTTGACTCTTTCGTGTCTGGATTATGCGATGCACACACGGCGTGTTCCCGCTTAGACGAACTCCGCAGGGCTCCATGGTTACGTAGAGCAATATTTTGCGTCCATTCCGTTCTGTCTGCGACGGGAAAGCGTCTGCGACAGATTCCTCGTAGACTCCGTGTTTTGCGGCGTAGTTTTTTAGACAGCATTGTTCGGCGTGCGTGTTGCCGGGAAGCTCCATTGTGTAGCCCGTAGAGAGGATTTGGTCATCGTCGGAGGTGTCGTCGGGGGTGTCGCGGCGGAGGATTAGTATTGCGCCTACGCGAAAGTTTGTTGGACGTGGAGGGGAGTTTTCGGCGAGTTTGAGGCATTCGCGGAGGTATTTGAGATGGCTTGATTCGGCAAGGGTGGGCGATGGAGCGGCGGCGAAGGTAGTCATTGTATATTTTTTTGAGGATGGAATAAGTTATATGTTCTATTGGAAATGTTTAAAGAAGTAAAGAGCTATGGTGGAGCTGATGTCATGCATGCCACCCCGCTTACATCATCTTTCTTGATCAAATCAACTTTCCCGGGAACTTCAGATACAAAACCGTCCACGCTTCTTCAATACCCAGATCCAATAATTTCAATTTGGTAGGAGACAACATATCAGTGCCGTCGTCATCTTCAATATACAGCACTCCCTCATCCTAGTTCATCAATCAGTATCAAGCTCCAAAGGCCGATAGAAGAAGACTAACCTTCCCCAAACTCAACTTCAGTCTCCCCTCAATAACGAGACAGGGCTTATATACGCTTGACGGAGTCTTTCCACGGATCATGGTATATATATTTTGCAGAATAGTCTCCGTTTGAAAGAAGCCAGCACTCGCCATTCTGGAGCCCCCGGTCTCGGCTACATCGCCCATAGCGAATACGTTCGAAGACCGACTCGTGTCGATTTGCAATGTCGGTTTGACGAGGACATGATTTGTCTTTGGGCATATGGCCTCTGGGGCGAGGTCTTTGATTATGTCGGAATTAGGGGTTTGACCAGCGCAGGGTAACTATTCACATGTTATGCTTGATCGAGCTGATTATGATTTGGATTGACTTACGATGAGATCGTAGTCCCTTATTTCCCCATTCGAGAACAAGAGCGCATTCTTCCCCTTTTTGATCTGTGGCCTCTCATTCAGAATGATATTGATACCCATATCCTGCAATTTCTCATACACATAATCATGCAGCCTCGGTCTAAACCTTGACAACAGCCGCTCTCTAGAATGCACAATTGTAACATCCTTTTCCGGATAAAAACTCTTGATATCAGCAGCCAATTCGACGCCCACTGCGCCTCCGCCCACCACCGCGATTCGTTGGGCCGCCTGTATATCCTCCTGAACACTCTGCATTTCTTTGCACGCCTCATTGATCTCTGTAGAAGTCAATTTCGCAGGCACAGACCCTCTCGACCCCGTCGCGATTACGAGATAGGCATATTCAACCACTCTCCCAGACTCTAGATATACCCTCCCATCTTTGATACTGGTAGCAGTGTCCTGGATATGCCGAAAAGCTCCCCTGGGGGCTGTAGCAGCGATACCATCAAAGGGGATAAAAGCATATTTCTCCCTCCCGCCCGTCATAACAGAGTAGCGCGGAAAATTGAATAGATAATGAAAATGAGAATTTCTTTCAATTAGTGTTACGCGATATCCCGAGGGGACACTTTCTTGAAGTCGCCGCACGAGTTGGATACCGGTAAACGAGCCGCCGAGGACTACAATGTCTTTTGGAGCTGGGACGGAGTGGTATGTCCATTTGTGGTGGAGGGCGAGGATGCGTTGTTGGATTACGGTGAAGACGATTGGGATGGCAATGCGGAGAAATTTGAGAGTAAATCTGATCCTTTCGAGGAGAGGCATTTTGTCGAGCTGTCGACTTGATGATATTCAGGTAAGTATAGACGTCCTTCCTAGCCATCCTTTCTGAAGTTTCTCACCCAAGGAAGATTAAGCCCATTACAATGATACAGCCGAGAGATAAGCGTTATTTCATTGACTGGATCCAATTCCTGCAATACCAGACATTGAATAGCGCACGATGTAGGCTTCGGGGCAGAGTCGGTCCATCTCCGCTCATCTCCATCCATACGGACTAATAGAGCCCCGAGGGCTGATTAAGTAGATACTTGGTTGACAGTTGGTATGTACGTAGATGGACAATGAATACTGACCTAACTAATTAGCCTATGACATGAATCAGTGATATGATGCCGGCCTTTGTACCTCCTGGTCAGATCGATAGGAAGATCAAGTAGAAAGCTGCAAAGCCCTAAAGTCGTGCCCTAACTTGATCCCAAAAGAGACCGGAGAGCTCCCGGACACCTGTTAACGTCAACGGTACTTGACGAGTACTCAACTATGGAATCTGCTAGTGATACTGACCTTTATTAGATAATTCTTATATATACTCATCGAAAATCATTGAGACAAGGCTATATGAGTCGGTATCAACTTGTATTATAATGACAATACAATCTGCAGCAAATTGGATATTTGTATGAAGCGTATTGTACCATTTCGTAAATACGCGATGAGCTTAATTGAGTGGGGTCTTCGTCGCGTCGGCGCGTCTTCCCACCTTCAATTATCGTCTTTACAAAGAATACAAGTCAACGTTCACGATAACCACGTAGCATACCCAACGCAAGATAAAATGTCGCAAGACGAGGATTTGGCAGGCGAACCTCCCGCTTCAATAAACCCGTACGAAGTACTAGACGTCGACGAAAAGGCAACAGCAGATGAAATCAAGAGCGCATATAGGAAGAAGGCTTTGAAACATCATCCAGGTATGTTTCACCGTACTTTTTAGTATTTTTGACGAAGCAGACGGACTGATTGAGGTGGAAAAAAAAAATAGACAAAGCTGCCCTTGACCAGAAAGAAGACGCAAAGCAGAAATTCCAAGAAATCGCATTTGCCTACGCCATCCTCTCCGACGAGCGTCGCCGCCGCCGCTACGATCTCACTGGCAACACATCCGAATCCCTTGATCTTGAAGACGATGACTTCAACTGGACCGAATTCTACAAGGAGCAATTTTCGGGGCTAGTCGACGTTTCGGCCATTGAGAAGATCAAGAAGGAATATCAAAACACAGATGAGGAGAGGAACGATCTTTTAGCTGCGTTTGAGCAATTCAAAGGTGATTTGGATCGGGTTTATGAGGTTGTTATGCTTAGCAGTGTGTTGGAGGATGATGACCGATTTCGAGCGATTCTCGACAGGGCAATTGCCGATAGCGAGGTGAAAGGGTGGAAGAAATATACAGAGGAGTCGGAGAGTAAACGCCAAAAGCGGTTGAAACGTGCTCAGGCAGAGGCTGCTGAAGCCGAGGAGGCGGCTAAAGAACTTGATGCGAAGAGTGCGGCAAAGGGCAAGAAAAAGAGCAAACCTAGTAAGGAGGACGATAATGCTCTCGCGGCTCTAATTCAACAACGTCAAAAGTCTCGAGCGGCCAATTTTTTCGATGACTTGGAAGCAAAATATGCACCGAAAAGTGCGGGCAAGAGTAAGAAGCGTTCTGCGGCGGATGAACCGCCTGAGGAGGCATTCGCGGCTGTTGGAGCCCGCAAAAGCTCCGGGAAAGGAAAAGGCAGCACCAAACGTTCCAAGGCTTGATTGATTATTTAGCATACGTCCGTCTCTTCTAAGCACAAGATCGGATGATATGGTGGTATAGCGTGGAGTTCCGGTTTAATTGCGACTTTGAGAGAATATGCATATCAAATTTTCAAATTTCCTAGGTCAACTCAGAGAAGGGTACAAAGCTGACTCAAGGTTGTAAGGCCTTACCAGATTTATGCTTAGGGCGACTCTCCCAAGTAAAAATAGCAGGAGCACTTAATATGAATGTTATTATTGATTCATTCCCCTATCTCAATTGTGATTTCGAGGCATTTGAGTCCCCATAACCTAACCCTTTACGCAAGTCAACCCTAATAAACCCCAGACCGATGGATCCGCACTAATAGAGACCAACATAACAAGTCACTACAAAGGAATCCATCATCAAACCAAAATAAAGCAGACATCTCTGAACCAATCATCGCAGAAGTACAGGCATTCCGGCTGGTTTCACGAATGGCGGCGCCGCGATAAGCAGGGAGTTCTTTTGGGATCCCACTTCCTAATCGAGTCTAAGATGCGCCCGCCCCAGGCGGAGACGCCGCTGATCCTTCTATCGTCGGTTTGTTATCAGCCAATTTACATAGTAGTTGCTTATCCGCACCATCAGCCATCAGGTAATTGCTGATGGCTCAGATGTTGTATCTCAATGTCTATGAAGTTCTTCAGCTAGAAATTTTCGAATGCGAGGAAAGCACGTCCGGTGACAGCACTACATACGTCTTGTACTACATCGCGGACAGCCGGCGTGAAGAATGTCGATTGCTCAAACCCTGTGCGTGGTTTTGTTCTTTGTCATAGCCTTGATAAGCACCAGGACCCCTGGCGTCCACGCTATAATCATATCACCGACTTCTGGAAATCCTTAGTCTATCTTGGTAGCGTTCGACGCCGTTACCACTCGCATGGTCGCTCATTCGACCAATAAACGCATCCTGGCTCTTCTTGCCACGAGTACAAGCTACTACGTAGAAGGGAATCAAGCTGGTGGAGCTCACTATCGCAATCCTGCGTCTCTAAATGGTGTTTAATCTGCTACTCGGAAGCTTAATAACCCGTTATCTTTGCTTCTTGACGTGCGCGGACCTGCTTGATACGGCTTAACTAGATCTTACCCACATGCCCATTGCATAGTAATGCATGCCCAAGCAGTTATCTAGCTTAGCTGCAGCCTCCAGCACCTCCCTGGTCATTTAATATAATAGCGGCCTGCTGCCTTGCAATTTTGCGACCTCACATCTGTTTCATCACTTCTTCATCGCATTTACACACAGTCAGACAATTGTGGACAAGATGGCAGAAATAGACAAGAAACACGATCCAATCTCAGAGTCTGTGGGACCGGCTGTTGAGTCCAGCGTCGAGAAGGGAGATGTCTCTAGCGATCTTGATCTTCTGGGTAAGCTAAGCTCCCAATATTCACCCGGCTAGTCTGTATATTGACGGAATCATCATTACAGCCCAATTGGGTTACAAGCAGGAATTGAGACGTCACTATTCGACGACTCAGGTTTTTGCTATCGCTTTCAGTATCATGGCTCTCTTGCCATCGATTGCCTCGACTCTGTCGTTCTCTATGCCAGCTGGGCCTGTTGGGATGGTTTGGGTAAGTTTTACATTTCTGATGGATCAATCTTTGTTTTGAGTGGTTACTAATCCTGGTAGGGTACGTATTTCGGATGCTTCTCACAGTGAAATGCTAAACGTCCGAAGGTTGGCTGGTTGCGAGCTTCTTCATCATGCTTGTTGGTCTTGCGATGGTATGCATACACAATTCGACAGGTCGAACTGCGCTGACAATATATAGGCCGATTTGGCGTCTGCAATGCCAACAGCCGGAGGTCTATATTTCTGGACACACTATTTCGCAAGTGACAAGTGGAGGAATCCGTTGAGTTTCGTCGTTGGGTACAGCAATACCCTCGGTTTGGTGGGTGGTTTATGTTCAATCGACTGTGAGTTTATGAAGCTCTTGATTCTTCGCAATGCGCATTCTGACATCAATAGATGGATTTGCTCTGATGCTGCTCTCGCTCGTCTCAATTGCAAGAGATGGTGAGTGGTCAGCCTCTCGCCCCGTGATTTATGCTACCTACCTCGGAACCGTCGCCATACACGGTGTCATGGCCACATTCATGGGGCGCATCATGAATCATATCCAAACCGTCTGTATTTTCCTCAACGTTGCTCTCGTCGTGGCAACTGTGATTGCTCTTCCAGTCGGTAACGCACAGAACGGTCTCCCCATCAATTCCGGTAAATACGTGTTTGGTGATGTGGAGAACCTTACAACTTGGTCTAGTGGATGGACTTTTATGCTTGCCTGGCTGTCACCTATCTGGACCATCGGCGCATTCGACTCGTGCGTACACATGAGTGAAGAGGCGACTCATGCTGCTCGAGCTGTCCCGCTGGGCATCATCCTTTCCATTGGTCTTTGTGGTATCCTGGGCTTTTTGTCGTTGGCCGTCATTGCTGCTTGCATGGACCAAAACATCACCAATGTGCTGGGATCTGCCTTTGGACAACCCATGGCTCAAATTTACTATGACTCTCTTGGGAAGTCAGGTGCTCTTGGCTTTATGGCTGTTGTTGCGATTGTTCAATTTTTCATGGGGTTGAGTATTGTACGTTTCCCGTCATTTCTGTATTCACAAAATGCATGTACTAACATAATCATGATAACAGTTGGTCGCAGCATCTCGTCAAACGTAAGACAACGGACAACTTATTATTGTATCAAAGTACTAACTTCTTATAGCTGGGCATTCTCTCGAGACGGTGCTCTCCCCTTCTCCGACTTCTTCAGACACGTCAGCAAACGCATTCAATACCAGCCCGTTCGGACCGTTTGGGGTGTTGCCATCATCGCTATTCTTATTGGACTCTTGACTCTTATCGACGCCGCCGCAGCAAATGCCCTCTTCTCTCTTGCCGTTGCTGGTAACGACGTTGCTTGGGGTGTGCCCATCCTCTGCCGTCTGATCTGGGGTGACAAGACAGGCAAATTCCGTCCTGGAGAGTTTTATACTGGGGTTTTCAGCAAACCAATTGCTTGGACAGCGGTTGCATATCTCCTTTTTGCTATTGTGCTATGCATGTTTCCGACGGGTGGAGCGGATCCGACTCGTAAGTTACTCAATCTGTGTGAATGGTACTGCTTGAATTTGAGTCCGGTGGCTAACACCTCTACCTACAGCGGACAATATGAATTATACTATTGTGATCAACGGTGCAATCTGGATTGGAGCAGCACTTTACTACTTCCTATTCGCCAGAAAGTGGTATACTGGACCAAAGTCAACAGTTTCTTAGTCCTGGGGTTCATGATGGAACGTGCTAGGGAATGATTATACATACCGATGTCGTGTTTTATATTCTATCTATCAATCCCTGACTACAGCATACAGAGATCAGATGTATCGTAGCTGTAATATTTTATTTTTAATCTTTACTACGCCGTGATAGGCAAGGCTGTCCTTGAGTTGGACTGATGACAGGAAAGGTTCCGCTTCCGAACCCATATTTCCGATCACGTAAAGATAAGAAGCTCGTATTCAGAGATAAACATGAGACTAGCTTAAAAGCATAAGCACAAACACACTACCCTATCATGATTAACCATAGATAACTGCAGCCAGACTACTGAGAGGAGTAGCCCCTGGAAAGAAGCTGGTCGGAATCGTCGGAATCGGAATGCTCGCCGTCGTTCCGAACGCAGTCTTCAGATCAGCAGCCATGGTAGCCGCCGAGTATCCGGTAGGAGCAGTCGATACAGTCGTTGTAGTCGTATAGCTAGTCAGTGAGCCACTATCTGATTTGAGACAGAATCCGCTTCCGTATGCGCTTTCGCACAGATACCACTGCGTATCACCGGTTTCGGTCCACATGGCGAAATCTTCGATTGTGATGTCTGTGCAAGGGTTTGTACTAGGGCAAACCACGCGTACAGGACCCCTGAGAGCGCCGTCAGCTTCTGTGCCGTGCCAGTCTGTGAATGTGATGTTGGTGAGAGTGACGCCTTGGCCGCCAGCTGCTGTTTGGGAGGACCAGTAGCTGTCGATGTCTAGCGAGTAGGCGTTTCCGTGACCTAATGGTGGTCAGTAAGCTTATCATTGATGCTTTTGATAAGGGGCATACCAATGAAGTTTTCAAAGACGACGTTCTCGACTGTCCCGCTTCCTTCGTTGGATTTGATCATCATCATTTGATTGGAAGACCAGGTGTAGATGTTTCGGTATATGACATCACTAATATCAGTGTCTAGGGCTAGAGAGCCAAATGCGCATCCACCGCTCCAGTTGCAGTAGATATCCTCAACCAAAATATTGTGTGCAGGACTCTGCAATGATTGAGGTCAGCGTGGTCTCATCTTGGACCGATTGTTCAGAAAGCCGTCTATATTGACATGCTTGAGAGCTGACGTACCTTGACGGTGACACACTCATCCTTGTTCGTCACCTCGATCTAATTTCGTGAAGCGTCAGTCTATCAAGTTAAACATGATATAGGAGTACCAAAATACATCATGAATCCAAATATTATCACTCCAAACATCAATACCGTCTAGACCACCCTCATTCCCACCCCGAATAGCCATATTGTACACCTCTCCATTCGTACACGTATCCATCGAAAAGTGGAAACTCGGCGAATCCGTCAAGGCGATGTCATGCACCGAGAAATCAGTCACCTCATACAACCTCAAAATCCTCGGTCCACTGATATCTCCATCTATATGGAAGAGATACCCGCTACCCTGAACCGCACCCTTTGACGTTGATGAAAACAACTCAAAGTCCGTCGCATGCTCGATGTATATCATGTTTCCACCAGCAGTTCCGCCTCTGTAGATTATGCCATCGAGTTGCAGGGCCCAGGCTGAGCCGCCGGATAGAGTGACCCATGTTTTGAGGAGGTAGTTTCCTGAGGGGACATACACGAGTCCACCATCGATGCATGCTTCGAAGGCGTCTGTTAGCGCTGGTCCGAGATCTGTGGAGTTATCTGCTACGGCGCCGTAGTCGAGGACATTGCACAATGCGACGTTCTTTTTTGCAGATATACTTGTCAGAGGGCCGACGGTGCCAGAGAGTTGGGCCGATGCATAGCCTAGAAGAAAAAAGGAAAGGAGATAGTGTATGGGAGCCATTTTGTCTTGTTTGGGTCTAACTACTCGTGCTACGAACTTACTGATGCTAGCAGGTTTTTTGTTTCTTATAAAGCTTGCACATTAATCAAACAACCCTCGACATGTCGACAGATGAGACTTATTTTTTCCACCAGGGGCAGGCGTTTCTGGTATGGATCAAGCATACTAATCACAGCCTCTCAACGCATAGGCTCATTCCTCTAACTCTCGGGCCATTCTCGAAGATGGTCTACTCGGAAAAATAATCTACTTCCTCCGACATAGTTTCGAGCAGAAGGTTGCATCAATTTGCGCGTCTCCCTTTCGACTCCTCCGTTCGTAATCACGTATCGATAAAACATTCAGTACCAGCCTACGTCACAATTCTCTTGCAAAACCTCGATGAATCCCTGCTAATCTCAAAGCGATAGCCGTGATTCCCCCAAGTGCCGGGGCTAGTAGGGGTCTTCTCCGTAAAACACCTTGGGGTAAAATGAAATTGCGGAGTATGAACCCCAGGTTTACGGGGCGCAATATCTCCATTGGTGGAGAAACGGGGATTTGGTTTCACTAGATTGGAGAGGCTAGTTTGAGAAGAGTCAAGTTAAATGGATGATCGGCGAAGAGTTTGAGTTTGCTCGGTTGGCGTTCACCCGAGTTATATAATGGTTGTTTCAATGATGCTTGTGGCTTTAGCTAAGCATTTGTGTGAATGGAAGTGAGGGTTTACGTGGTTATGGATAGGAAGGTGTACACTTCTATCCGGGATTGTGATCAAACTTGCTGACTATGAATCTAGATAATTGGTCTATCTATATTGAGGCTTGTTAGCCTATCATGATTCTCTTTCTGAAATTAGAGCGGTGGTGCCATTACATACGTATGCTAAATTTAATGATGCTCTAGAGTTCCAAATTGAACTGTATTGTCCTTGTCATTGTGTATGTTTACAAAAGCCACTTGCCAAGATTAAATCATCCAATAAAGCTATTTTAAGGTAATAGTTAACAGGATTATGTTGATATATCAGTCATTTAGCATCAATGTATCAAGAGTTCCTCGCTACACATGCCGTTAAAACCCCTAAAAAGACACGAATTACGGCTAGGGCTAGGGCTAGGGCTAAATAATACCTGAAGCAGCTGCCTAAGCAGGAGTAAATCCCCGAAGCCCCTCGTCAATCCTCGTGTTTGGTGAAATACATTATATTTACAAAGCGCACAACTTGACAGTGACTTAAGGTATACTGATTTTAATAAACCCGAGTGATACCCGACAATCTCGTGAATGCGAAGCTAATCAACCAACCTCCTTCAAGCTTAGAACTACGATCCGACAAAGTCTCTGCCAAAGCCGTGACTTCTGGACTAAGAAATAAACATAATTGAGAAATGAGGGTCCAAGAGCGTGTAAAACGCGCCTGATACGTGTATTTGTCCATGGATCATGTACGCTGTTCGGGTGCCTGAAAGAAGGGATAGATGTGAGATGATGGGTCACATTTCCGATGGCAAGATAGAGTACATGACTGGCTGATCATGGATCGACTAGCTACTTAGTACTGGTCTGTAGGAGAACCGAAATGAAAAATGAGTAGTTAACTACACTTGCCGAAGTTCTGTAAGGACATTTTGATATGATAGTATTCTCCAAATAGCAATCAATCGACAAAAGTCTTCAAAATCGCTTTCCCAAATCTTCTTACAAGACTACTTAATAACACACAATTTTTTCGCGGTTTGTTTGAGAGACGTAACAAACGGATTCTAATCATCAGGCAATGGATCTTAATTCCAGAGAAAAGTCATGCACTATGTTTCCCGAATAGGAAAGTTGATTGTTATCATCATCACTAGTGAAAGTCCTGCATGAGCCCCTCACAGGAAACAATTTTACATCACCTTTTAGTATCCTGATACTACCTGTCAACTGGTGGATGCTTTAAGACTCCTTATGACTATTGAGATGACCTATGCATTAGCTTGTGTTGTCATTGTAGACCAATGTACGGGAACAAGCCCCTGAATATCAATTTTGAGTCGACGACCTCAGATTTGAAGAAGCTTTTACATGATCCCTTGTGCAATCCTGAAATCTTGATAAATCCTCTGTCTCCCAGCACTCGAGACGTAGTGAGGCCAACATAACTGCTGGGACTTCATCGAAAATGTATCTATCGAGATTGCTTGCGCTATTTGTCGTCGGATTCTTCGTCTACAGAACTATCAAGGCGAGAATTCGAAAGCGTCGAATCAGACAGAAAGAGGCTCAGCTAGGATGTCTACCACCGCCGGTCTTCAAGTTAACCAATGGATTGGGTTTGCCATTAAAGAAGGGTACGTACGATATCTGTGGCCTGGGTAAAGATTAACTCAAAATTATGCTAACTGTCGACACAAGAGTCCATGCAAGCAACGAACGAAGACCGGAACCCACAGTACATCATGGATACAATGGACAGTATCTCCCCCGACTGTCACACCGTCCGCGTGCCTATTTTCGACTACGAGATCTTCGTCACCCGCGACCCTGAGAACATGCGAGCAATCTTCTCAACGCAGAGCAACGACTTTGACATCTCCTACTTCCGCCAAATGAGCTGGCTATCCATGATAGGCAAAGGAATCTTCACGACACGTGGCTGGGACTGGAAACACTCTCGCTCTCGTCTCCGGCCACAGTTCGCGCGAGACATTGTGTCGGATGTTGATCGTGAACAGAGACACGTCGAAGCCCTGATGAAGAGATTACCCAGCAACGCAGTGACCAAATGGACAGACAAGGTAGATCTGCAACCACTCTTCTTCAACTTCACGCTCGACACCGCATCGGAGTTTTTGTATGGCCAATCCGTGCATTCGCAACAAGGAACCAAAGAAGGAACTGAGATGGCTACCCATTTCCACAATGCGAAGATGACGGTTCATAGGCGTATTGAGCTTGATAAGTTTTACTGGGTGATTAATCCCAGTAAGTTCCGCAAGGCGTGCAATAGTCTTCATAAGTGGGTTGATGGGATTGTCACGGCGAGACTTGCTCAACTCGAACAGCAGCAGCAGGGGGAGAAGGTTGGGTTTGAAGGCGATGAGCCCAAGCAGCAACGGTTTGTGCTGCTTGATGAACTGGCTAAGGATACGCAGGACTTGAATGAGCTTCGCGGTGAGACTTTAAATGTCCTCGTCGCCGGCCGCGATACTACCGGCTCTCTTCTTGGCTGGGTATTCTATTTCCTCGTCCGCCATCCGGATGTTTACACCAAATTGCGTGAAATCGTGCTTGACACCTTCGGCGCTCACCCAACCCGAACAAGAATCGATTTCAACATCCTCCGCAACTGCGCTTACTTACAACACGTCATGAAAGAAGCCCTACGTATTGCAACGGTTATCCCTATGAATGAGAGAGTAGCGCTGCGCGATACAACTCTTCCCGTTGGAGGAGGAGAGGATCGAAAGGGCAAAGTCTTCATTCCTGCCGGTACACAGATCTTGATTCCTACCTATGCAATGCAGCACCGAAAGGACCTCTGGGGTCAGGATGTGGAAGAGTTCAAGCCGGAGAGGTGGGAAGCGAAGAAGCAGCCTGGGTGGGAATTTATTCCTTTTGGTGCTGGGGATCGGAAATGTTTGGGTCGTAAGTTGTCTCCGTGTGACCCTTTCTGCTATTATTTAAAAAACTAATGCATAGTCAGAACAATTCGCATTCACCGAGACAGGCTATGTCATTGTACGATTCTGTCAACGATTTGATAGGATGGAGAATATGGAAGAAGGAGACGGACGGATTCGGCTTCATCATGCGATTGAAAATAGGAGTGGGACCGGTGTTCAGGTCAGGTTGCATGAGGCGGACTACGAGTAGTTGATTTATGGTCTTGTCGAGACTTATTGACTATCTTGGTGGATGGATGGTTGCAATGTGTTTGTCGACAGATCAATTGATGCGTTTCGGGTGCGACTTCATATGATCATAAACGGTCGTTATACTGAGGTGTGGGCAGGAAGCCAATTTAATGTATTCTAAGTCTATTAAATAATTAATGTATCTGCTCGGTAGTACATGATCAGAGGGCATGGGCACTTATGTCCTGCAAGCAACATTCCAAACCTTCCATACAGCGTTCCAATACCTGGATGGGTCCAACCTCAGATGCGAAACATGCGAGGAACCATCAAAACGCTCAAGGATGATATTCGCATACCCCCTGTTCCTTGCAACCTCTGCATGCTTCTCGACGTCTTTCCAATAGATGAGTTTATCCGATGACGAATAGACGTATAGTCGTGCACATTTCTGTGGAATATTTCGTGGCGAATTCAATTCTCTCGGGCCTCGCGTAGCCATTATTTCAATTCCAATAATTTGCGGGATTACCATGAGACATGTAACAACAACCGCTGCAATGGCCCATCTTRGGGGTTTAGGCAGAGCCGCCATACCAAGTGAGACACCGGTCGTCCACCTACCGAATTCGGTTTTGTATGTAAGGCCTCCAGGCGTTGAGTCGAGGATCAACGCCGTTAGTGGTAATGGTGTTTTTGTCTCAAAAATGTCCTTCCAAACAGACCAGGTTGCTTCGAGATTTAGGCCGCCACTATTAGAAAAGGCGTGTGCAAGCATTCGAGGCCGGGATCTTGAAGAATCAGCATGCTGAGTATCGAACTGATACAAAGGTGCAAGTTCCTTATGTACCATGTCGTGGACAATGTATTGAGCAGCTTTTTGGCCGCCAAAAAACGTTCCGATGGTGGTCGCTGTCGTGAGAATGATTTTCGCGCTTGGATATAGATTCTGATATCCTTCAATGTACTTGACATAATGGCGAGGTTGCGCATCGGCCCATGTAAATATCAGCACGATTTCTGGCGATATGGCATTCGGTGATTCTGTTGACTTTGAACTGTCGCTCCCGTTGTCTGACTGTGTCTTTTGCTGAGGTTCCCATATCATAATTCGTTCTGAGAATTTTCTGCAGCCAGGGGGTAGTAAAGACGACATATTGAGAGTTGAGAGCGCCTGTATCTAACAGGCACTGAGAACTCAGATCTTGAGAACAGCAAATCATCCAAATTGATCGCACATCTTATAATGCTCGAACAGTGAATAACCAACCACCAACACCTTCAAATGTTGAGAGACTAGCCAAAATGGGATCTAACCAGAATAGGTAATATCCTAGTTGGGTTAGTCGTCATGCCTTCGGGATGCGTGGGTCTTCACCATTTTCGAGGTTGTAGATGGCGATTACTGGTCACGGATCCCAGTCGTGTTCGTTATTTTGGTTATAAATAAGATGTCAAAGTGTTCTAGAAGTCCGTTCGGGAGAAATAGATCGCGTTCGCCTCGTGTAAGTCGCGATGGAGTTTTTCCGGATAGACACGCGGCGTGACGAGTCATGCTCAATCAACACTTGCAGCCAGAAAGTTGAGGCATGCGTTCCTCACTTCATCCCCTGTAAAATCGCACTGATTATCCACTCGGTTTGATAGGTCCGCGTCGTTGTCGAGAGGGTGCTGCTGTCCCCGGAAAACATATAGCATTCCCGCCGTCGAGTAAAGCCGCTGTCGCCGGTTCTCAATCGGCAAACCGATCCCCCCTGCCATCATCCATGCCAAGTTGAGCACGCTCACAAGGGCCTCGTCCCCAAGGGAGATCATGGCGCTCTCTAGGTCTGACAAACATTGTTGTGGGACATTGGAAGAAGGCTCGTAGTCTATAAAAATGGAACAGATGAGCATGATAGCCGCCATTTGTCCATCAGCTTCGGAAAGATAGTTTCCTCGGTCGTATGGAATGGTTCCCGGGTTCTTCGTCAGGCTCTGCCAGACTAAGCTTTCCGGATGAATTCGTGGCTTGTATATTGTGGATGTTGTGTATAATGCGGCCTCTGACAACCTAGCCACGAACCTCTGTAGAGATTTTTGCAGTTCGGGCAGGTCGCTTCGATCCCAGAACAGACTATCTGGCCCTAAGTGCGCATTATCGAATGCAATCGCAATCTGAGTGATTGAATGGTTGTGAATGAATGTCGGTATTCTATTGATAGAATCGCTAGTGCCTTGTGAGCCAGCCGTCCATGAACGTATAAATTCTCTGCTCGCCGCAAAATGAGCTCGAGCCTGTGCCGGAAAGAAAATATAATCCATCAAGACAAGCTGTAGAATGATAAGAAATTGAGATTCCGCCTTTAAGTCTCGGTTTCGTGACGGAGTCAAGTCCAAAATCTGTTCGGAATCTTTCGTCGCGATGGCCAGCTGCTGTCGAGCCAATTTCATAGCTTCTCCTCGATATGTAAGTGCCATGATATGTAACTTGTTTTGCTCTTCGGGGCTATTGAACTTTCCAAATCTGGCCTTGTTGAACATGTTAGTAGCAGCCTGGATGAATGATGCAATATTGCTTGTTCGAAATGCGCTACGAGCTGCGTGTCCGGGGTTGGGGCATAGGGCATTGCTGACACCCCATATGCCCCTCATTTTCCGGGGCGTGTTGCTGTTGGATATAGCCACATCATTGCTAAGCGATACAGGCAGCTCCCTTGGTATATGCGAGCTTAGTTCTAGTGCGCTTTGGTGGTTGATGTGCTTTCTAGCGTGGGTATCTTTCCTGGGCCTGTCAACGGTGGTGACAGTCCAAGCAGACTTGACGGATCCATGCTTTGCCGCTTCCTGTTCCTTGACTCGCCTCCTGATCGCATTCTTGGCCACGAAAGAGCGCGCTTTCTCTCGATGCTTAGTGGACGGATCGTCCACGAAGAAAACTTCCATGTCGCCTGGTCTGATGATGAAGCTTGAGACAGAATAAGAAGGAGAGCTGAACAATCAGTCCGTTTTAGGACCCGACGCTAAGATCCACACAAACCACGCTAGTCCTGTTACGTAGTAGGGTTAGGGTTGTAATCAACGACGAGATATCTTTTATAATCAGATCGGAATCAGAATTTTGTCAATCAATGAAGTATGACCAGACGATCAAATGCTACTAGCTAGAGCTTTAGCGCTTGGAGGGTGTATTCTTAGGCAAAAGTTGTTGCTCTGTCTTGTCACCCAAGCCCAACAAGACTCCGGGGTACAGAGTATAAAGACACCAATGGGACTGGCTGATATCAGGCCAGTTGATCGTCAGCGGTGAAATGCTTGTCAAATCACTATCTAACTGTTTATACAGCGTCCGATAATTTTCGATAGTGATTCGGTGTATCATGAAGAAGCTGGAGTCGGCAAATGCATCATAATGCGGGGTTGTTGCCGAGGTCAACGGGAGCTTCATCTTCTATCTTATCTAACACCGCTCATCAATCTTCAGTCAAGCATGCTATATACGCCATAGATTTAAATTATTAAATTATTAAGCGACTTACTACGAGCCAGAAATCCTGATTAATATATCAATTGCTGGCCTGGATCTCACGCCGACTTATAATCTGATTCCTTGAGACCTCGCTCCTCGATAACCAGTGACCTCATCAACTCAATCGACTATCAACACATTGACATAGCCTATATTCCAAATACTCACCATGCCAAAAGCAATCTTCCTCCAGCCCATCGATGGCAAGCCTGGCAAGCCAGGCCAAGTATACTATCCCATCGTCCAGAAAACAGTACCCCCACCAACAATCAAAGGCAGCGAACTCATCATCAAACTCTCTGCCGCAGCCCTGAATCATCGTGATCTGTTTCTGCGTCAACACCTCTATCCAGGCCTATCCTTTGACGTGCCCATGCTAGCCGACGGCGTCGGCACAGTCATTGAACTCGGTCCAACCGTCAGCGACAAATCTTGGAAAGGCAAACGGGTGATTCTCAACCCCGGAACGGGCTGGAAAGATCACCCGGATGGACCTGAGGATCCTGCCGGATACAAAATCTTGGGCGGCACAAAGTTTGATCCTAGAGGGACACTACAAGAATACGTTACTGTGGATGAGTCTGAGGTCGAAGAGGCGCCGTCGTATATGTCTGATGCGGAAGCTGCTGCGCTCCCATTGACGGGATTGACGGCGTGGAGGGCACTTATCACAAAAGCCGGGGAGAGGAACTCGACAAAGGGATCTGCTGTGTTGGTTACTGGTATTGGTGGTGGTGTTGCGCTTATGGCTCTGCAGTTTGCGGTTCAGAGGGGGGCGGATGTTTATGTGACGAGCTCTAGTCAGGAGAAGATTGACAAGGCTATTGAGCTAGGCGCGAAGGGGGGTGTTAGTTATAAGGAGGCAGGTTGGGAGAAGAAGTTACTTGCTCAGCTGCCCTCTGGGAAACTGGCGTTTGATGCTATCATTGATGGAGCGGGTGGTGATATCATCGAAAAGGGGGTTAGACTACTCAAGGTAGACCATCCCTTTGACCGTACATCCGTACTTTAACTAACTTATTGATGCAGACCGGTGGCGTGATTTCTGTCTACGGAATGACCGTCTCCCCCAAAATGAACTTTGTAGCACAAGCTTTCCTGAAAAACATCGACGTACGAGGCTCGACGATGGGTTCGCGAAAGGAGTTTAAAGACATGGTCGACTTTGTCAAGTCAAATGAAATTCATCCTGTTGTCTCAAGGGTTCTGAAGACGAGTCTTGATGACATTGCTGGCATTGATACACTGTTTGATGACATGAATGCTGCGAAGCAGTTTGGAAAATTGGTTATACAGTTTGGAGAGGCAACGGGTGATAGCAAGCTATAACCCAGTTGAGAGATAATTTGGCAACAAGCATTTGATAGAGTACCTACTACCTTAGGTTTGGAATTACTGCCTATCTAGGTATCGAACCTCCGAACGCGATGTGATGATATCTGCGAACCCCTTTCTTCAACAGACCACAAAAAACCCACCTCGTATTCGGGCACCTCTCTTTAATACATTCATAATCCACAAATAATTTCCAAACTCCCATGATCTGATGATCCTCAAAATAGAAACTCAATAAAACCTCAGCTGTATACATAGTAGCATAAAATTCTTTAAAAAAGTTCAATTCGTCAAGAAAGTGGTCCAATCGACTCCACGTCAAAAATTGCCTAATTCGGATAAATGACCGACTTGGCCGAAGTATGACTTCACAAACGCTTCATAGTTCATATGGGCCCAAAATAATAAAACTTTTTTTGGAGAACGAGAGGCTGAAGTTTGGCTATTAGAGTAATGCCAAGTTGAAGACCTTATTGAGCCTCTATGAATCTTGTCACTACCAATGAAGGACTTGGATTAAGTTGGATATGGACGGAACCGTAAATAACCGATGGTCTTCAATTAGCCGAAGTTGGCAATCTCCATCAATCCGTGGACTACGATGGATATCATGATGTCGCTCGTTGTCCGTGAGATATTTTTATGCGATGAACCACTGGATTCGATATTTCGTTGCTTTCTTGGACTAATATTTGGATATCGTACATGTGACAACAGCAACTGTCAATAAAAGAAGATCTGATACATCGTGCTCTGATTGGATGCGCCATTGCTTTCTGTTATACCATACTTTAGCAATATTCGGTAAGAGCTGCCACCCGAATCGCTGCCCATTTTTTGGGATGTGTACGTACATTCGCCTCTGGGTCAACCGTTGTAGGATCAGGTGACATATTTCGCCGTTCCGAGCCCGAAAAACACCCGAACGAGCCAGCTGAGTGATTCCGAGGGTTAGGTACACCAAGGTACATCCTAAAATAAACTACAGTTACCTACCTAGGTATGTTCTATGATCAGCTCTGATCGAGTATGAGTAGTATACGCATACGTATGTCGAACGTGCATATCGACTCAGTTAAATATAGCACACTTACGGATCAGGTCCCATGATTTGCTCACGCTGTGCCAGATCATCAAGCGAGAGTTCACTCAAGGTCGCAATCGCAAGAAAAAAAAAAGTTAAGGGTTCAAGGTTGAAAGGTAGGGTAGTAGCAGGGTAGCATTGGGAACACGAGCATACATATCAAGCTCATAGTTTCATACAGAGAAAAGAAAAGAATTGTGTGAACTGTCAGCCGCTGATCATTTGTTTTTGTTTTCCGACAACAAGAATATGATACGTAATTTTCGTTTTTACTGTTTATTTTTCAAGTGGGTTTTTTTCTTCTGTGGTTGTGGTTGTGTGGGGATTGCTTTGCGCTAGCCTGAAAGGGAGCTCTCGGTTAAGGCTAAACCGGCTAATGGGTCTCGCGTGGTCAATGAGAAGCCAATAGGATGGCAGAACAGACATGCATGGTGGATCGAATGCTAAAAATAAGATCCATACATAGTACATAGTACATACCGCTGTTATCTACGGTAATCAATACAGCAAACGGCGTAATCATCGTAATTTAGTCGATACGGCAGCCACACCATTATCTTCCATGAAGATGATTGTCTGATCCACTGGATTTTGATCGTTACTAACCAGGTCAAACCGTTAGATCCTTGAGACAGGCAAAGAACCTATCCGAGCGCTTGAATGGTTATTTTCATTCTCAAATGCTTCACCGCCATCTCTGGCTTTGGTATCTAGTAATCCACGCACCAGGATCAGGGATTTCGAATTCGCAAGGGTTGGGCTGCTTCCAAGATCTCTGTATTAGGGTGTGATCGGAAGAGCTCCGACCGATCAGTTACTGCACTTGAGCGGATTACGTTCTCATTTTCAAGCAAGTCGTTACAGTATGAGCAATTGGTTTTCTCGGCGATGGATCTTTATACTCGGTATGTACCAGAAATCAGATACATTAACCATTCAACAGCATGAATTGCCACAATGTCGTTGTCAAGTTGCATGTTGTATGCATTGAGTCGTGAACCATTGTCATATCATATATGCCAACCTGCCAAGAGAGTTGACAAGACAGTATGATTCTTGCTATGATTGGACCTTCCGTAAACAACTTCCAAGAGATCCGAAAGATCAGTGGTCAATCATATCAGGCATGATTCGTACACTTTGCGATATAAGTGGCTGTGCAAAATGGCTTGGTAAAACGTCTGCATCTTCCCTTCCATCCGTATGGACACCGAACAATCAACTGTGGAGTTGCGTACTGGAGTATGTTCGGCCGTACCCTAAAGTTAATTAACCACATTAGTACGTGGTACCAAGTCGTTGAGTCTTGAAGTAGTTAGCGCACTCCTCGCTCAGTGCTTAGAAGAGCTTAGTCTATTCCCGAAGTTGCAAATGCTTTCCTGTTGATGGTGGCAGCTGGCAAGACTCCAAGAGTCAGGCCACCTGAGCGGCCAAGCTGAACAAACTCCGTTAGTTATGGAGCTGGAGGACCACATCGTAAACAAAGTTCGGAGAAACGAGATTGATGAGATCATTGATTCTGATTGGTTGCTAGTGCAAGTTCCGTGGTTCTTGGGTCGGATCATTCCACTTTGCTTTTTTCCTTTTTTACCCCTTCAGTCTTCAGAGAAAAAATTGTTTGGATGAATGCAACCTCTTGACTATGAAGCGAAGGGCGCATGGTAAGTGGTCAGATGTATCGACAGTCAGGTATCCTTTTAACTCCTTTTGGGGAGGAGAAGGCCACGACTACTCGTCGAAACTTCAGTCATTCGTGGATGGTGACTTGAGCCGTCGGGCCAAGTTCATGAACAGACGGGGCAGAATTGATCTTGTTATCTTAGCTACGTATGGTAGTCGACTAGCAGTACGTCGTGCGTAAGTAATGATTGAATTTATTCCAACAACTGCGTAGTTTGCCCGGATCTCGGTTCATGTATGAGGTCCGATCAAAGAGCCGGCTCTCTTGAGAAATGCCCTCGGTAGTATGCTTCCACTCAGCAGCTGCGTGATGAGCATATCTGGAAAGCTTTCATGCAGTGCCATCACGAAAATGTAGGAAAAATCGTAGCGCACCGGCCAATGATTGGCTGTTAAGTAGCTCAGAAAACCTACCAGATACACGGCGACCCAAAGCGGTTAGTGGCAGGGATGCTGAGCTATATATGGAACACTAGTACCGGCCTTCTAATCCTAGAATGGCTAGAACGATTTCTCGTACGCCAGTTTTTATACTATGTAATATGTATTGCACTAAACTAGGACAGTAATACGGCCTCACCCGCACACAAACAGTGTCATGCTTCCTGCTTGGCATCTCCGTTTCGACTCCGTGCCCTCCTCGCAATACGCCGAGTGTCTCGTAGATGACTGGTACGGTGGCAGCAGCCTCATCTTATTTTTCGGGCCCTTCTTCGCATCCTCATTCGGAAACATGTGGCGCTCGTTGAGGTTGACCCAAACTTCGGATCTTGCCCCTTGGGTTCAGGCTCTCTCCCAGCTTACCTTGAGGTTTGTGCGGACTTCTTCGTAGCTTTAATCATTTTCGGACGGATTAGCCTAAAAATGCTACGTTTCATCTGACTTCCGATGACTACTAGCAGAAAGCAGATGCCGGCCTTGACTTACATACTAATCGGGTACTATCCGTCGGTGAAATACAACAGCCTAACAGTTGGTCAAATGCTCATCCCAACCGTTCAGTCATTCAGTACAAGTACCTGATGACAGCCGAATATGAAGCATCTGATTCTACCGAGCTTGAAATAGCCTGCCAATAAACAAGCAGATCGAGCAATGGTAGCATGAGTTGGACTGACCACGGGAGATGTGACGACGATGATGTAGTTGGTCCGTGTGAGGATGGCTGTGCTGGAAGGTTTCCTTCTCAGTACTAGCTCCGTTACAGATTGAACCCCAGGCCCACCGTAACTAACGCCTTACAAGTAACTTATGTAATTCGGCGTAATTTTGCGTATATGATACGGGCGGATATCGTGCCGACTCTTACAGCAATTGCTTTGAGATTTGTGCTTTGAAAAAGAACAAAGTACTTTGATTGGGTCGATCCATGTAAATATATCCTGCACCAGGGTCCAACTCTCTTCTCTCTCGCCTGACATCTTCAGTCGTTGGACTCGCTTATAAGAAAACTCTGTTGGCCAACTCTGATAGGTACACTGTCCGTGGGGGATCGATCTATTTTATCGATTAGTCACGCAGCTTGAAGCAACAGCTGCGCCTGCACGTCCGTAACATTCCGTCTCCCAACACTTGCGTACGAAGTTATCACTTGCAGCTCTGCTCTAAATGTGTCGCCAGTAGACCGCTGCCACGCTAAAGTGCTGCCCGAAAGTTATGTCCATAATATCACCCATTCGTACATACAGTGTACACGAAATACGTCGTGCATACAGCGTTACAGTGTTCCTTGATCATCCCCGCTCCAATCACTACCCACTCCGTACCCCTGTTAGTCCACTTCCTGCTCCTAAATCTTAGCGTGCTGGTAACTCGTAAAACTTGTACGTAAGTTACGCCGTCCTTCGTACGACCTTTACGGTGGTATCATACAACCCGCCCCTTCTTATATGCCCTTGCCTTTCCCAGCCCGCTTCTTGCTCCGCCTGTTCTCTCTTCTCTCCTCTTACTCCCTCCGATCATATATCATAACATCCATATCCAAATGACGTGAAGAGTAACAAAGAAGAAAAATAATCTCTTGTCCTTTTTGCTGTTTACCCACACTCGCTACTACGCTCGCTACTTGCCAGAAGCATTTGTTACATTCGCTACTTGACGCTGTGTCCAAGGAAAGAAACTCTAACGGGATCATCGATTGATATACAACTCGCTCGATCCACATAATCATTAATACCGCAGATTGAGAAAAGAAAGAAAAAAAATATATTCTGTCACACAAAAGAAGAAAGAGAATACAGAAGAAAACAATTTGGAACGACAAAAAAGAACGACCACGATATTCATCGCGAGGACGCAATCACGGGAACGCCCAAGTCAAACCGCCAGCCCTACTCTGCGACCATCAAATATCCCCCGCTCCTGCCACCAACAGCGACAACCTCACTCACGCAACGCTTTCAATTGAACAGCTAAAAGAGGATTCCTCAAATATCAAGGGTTGGTCTCCTTTGCCTTCCTCACCTTGCATCCCCTCTCCCAGCCATTCTTCCTCTATTCTCCTTGCTTCTGAAACAGGACTTGCCCTATGATCCTTCTCCTACATAATCTCTCATGTCCTACAACCGTAGCTTCAATTTACTTGAAGCACCTGGTGCCAATTGCGTCTTGCGAAACAGTCGCTAACCATTCCATAGACTAGTTACTACAGTATCCGCCAGATGCAAACCGTGCCCTGCTGATATTGGTGAAAGAGGTGATATTTATTGCTGCAACAAGCACTACCACGATTACGTACCATCTGAAGCTTTGAATGCGTCCTTGACCTTCAAATCCTTCGCAGATTTTAGAGACTATCTTTGTCTCTGCCACTCGCTTTTGAATATCCGGACAGTCGCTTCGCGTGGCTCTCCATCTTCCAGTCGCTCCAAATCGTATTTTCTGTCGCTCGCTTCGTTTATTTTTAACAGTTAAGCCTCGTTGCACGTGCTGCAACACAGTCAAACTGGCTCCCTCAACTGTTCCCAGTTTTCAAGTGAGTTGAGCATGCAAACTATCATTAGAATATCTTCTGACGAAAACAGCTCAACACCGACTTCCAGACTCCGCTGATATTTGACGAGTCTGCCGACTATTCGGACTTGGAGGAATCTTGCTTTGCCGGCGCATACTCTGACGGCCTCCTGGCAAAGTCGGATCTCCAATTGTCGATGTCTAGCTTTCAGAAGTCACCGCACAATGGTCTAGAAGGTGAGTTTCGTCGCGATAGTCCCCCACGAAATTGTTCTGACGACCGCAGATTTCAATGATCAAGGACCTTCCATGCAAGAAAACTCTTTCGCTTCAAACTATGGCCAACTACCTTTCATGAACCCCATGTACGCAACCTCTCAAGAGGACTTGGGTAGCCCAGATACAGATAGTCTGCATTATGTCCCCGGGTACGCAGCTTCTGCATCTGTTGATGATGCCCAGTCTCCTGGCTTCGACACCCCTATCAATTCTTCTCCAGAGATTGTCTCCTTTGCTCCCCAGAGAGGTTCTGAAGGTACTCAGGTCACAGTCCGTGTGATCTCGCCATTCGACTTGCACTCAACTGCTCGCGCCATCTTCATCTCGTTCGGAACACGCCAATGCGAGTGCACCGTCACTATGATTGACAACCACAACGCACAATTCGGCTATCTCTTCTCTGCTCATGCGCCAAACTTCGCTTTCACCACGTCTCCCTCTTTTGATGTCCCTTTGCAACTAGTCATCGATGTCCCTGCTGTGGGAGACCCTCTTGTGCGTCAAGTTGGAACCTTTTCCTATGAGCAGTACTTGCAGGCTCCCATCGAAGACTCTAGAAAGAGAAGCCTTTCGGCTTTCCCTGAGAATGCCAGCTATCGTCCAGCAAAGCGCCACTCGGCTCATGAATTTGAGACTAAAGCCGTAGTCGACCACCACACACATGCACGTTCAGCCTCATACACGCCATTCGTGCAGACTCCTGTGACCACGAGCGTATTTCCTACTCAATACGAGATGGAAAACTCCCCTCGTCTCTCGTTGGGTGGTTTCTCTAATGTGTCGACCAGCCTTCAGCCCCCCGTCCAGGCATCTTCTCCTATGATCTCGACGTGGAGTCCCTCAGTTTCTGTTACTGACTTGTCTGTTGTCAATGCTCCATCCGCTGTTAATATGTCGGTCTCCCAATCGCAGAACCCCACCTTGATCCGTACGTCAACTTTGCAGCACGGACACAACCTTGGTGCATCCCAGCCTTTCAACCCGTATGCGATGTACCCCACCAAGGCGGTTCTAGAATTGAATGGAGATCTCGACTCAATGGCGCTTGGCTGGACTGCCCAAGAGACCGCCGCAAAGCGTCGTTTGGTTCAATTCACACGGTCCCAGAATGGCAGCACTATCCATGCTGACTTCAAGCCCATCACTCCTGAAGAGCGCACTCCAAACAGCATTTGCATTAGCTGCATCCATTGGGATGGCAAGGGCGAATGTTTCGTCACTAGTGTTGATACTATCTATCTTCTGGAGTCTCTGGTTGCCGTGCGCTTCACTGTCGAAGAAAAGAACCGCATTCGCCGCAACTTGGAGGGTTTCCGTCCTTTGACAGTCTCTAAGGCCAAGGCCGATAGTGAAGACTTCTTCAAGGTCATCATGGGATTCCCTGCACCCAAGCCTCGCAACATCGAAAAAGATGTTAAAGTTTTCCCCTGGAAGATTCTTTCTCTAGCACTCAAGAAGATCATTGGCAAATATGTAAGTCTTACACTCGTATTTTCTACATCCTCCCTCTAACGTGCCTCTCCAGTCTGCGAGCTATTCATCTACCGCCGGAGCACTTCCCGCCTCATTGAGTGCTAGTCATTCTATGAGCTCGGATCTTGGGACTGAGTCTCACAATGCTTCATCTCCACAGTCGGTTGCGGAATCCTCAGCTTCTAGCGCATATCCAGTCAACTTCAGCTCTACCACGTTCGCACCATCACTCATGCCGGTCACCTCCGGTCTCGACTCTGACTTTGCCGTCACTCTCTCAGGGCCGAACCCAGGTTACCCTGCTACCATGGGCGCCTCTTTTCAATTTGACCCGACATTTCAAACCGATCAGGCGCTCATGAACCAGCCATCCTGGGACTTTACCCCTTCGTCCCAGGCCGAGGATTTCAATTACATGAATATCCCATATTCTATGGCTTGAGGTAGCTGGCAACACATGGGGTTCCTACTGGATCTCTTCGAAGCTTTGATTTTGCAAGTCTTCGTCATTTATTTTTGTCTTTTCTGCTCTTGCACTGGCCTGCAACTATCCAACTTCACGTCCACCGTTTAAAGTCATTCCTTGGCACACCGACACGATAATGTGTTAATGTTTTTTCCGAGATTCTACGAATTTCCTTCAGTCATTCCTTGATACCATCCGAAGCGAAGCGTTTGCTCATCCTCTCCTTTATCATGTGATACCCGGAATATGGCTACTCCTATTCCACTGTTATTGTTGCTTTTTGTTAATGAATCATGCCACTCCTTTCATGACTTCATATAATGCATGCCCCGATGAAAGATTTGATGTTTTTGTTTTTGAGCGTGTTTTTGGTTTTTGGTTTTTGATTTTCAAAATTTCTGTTTAGACACATCGGGTGCATCAGCGATCATTCCTTATCAATTGTTTTTGTTACGCATAGCGTGGACGTGCTATCGAAGCCACTCCTTCTATACCTTGCATATTGGCCAGGCGTTTTGCTTTTTGCTCTCGGTCCCAACCGGGTACAGCTTCGGTTGTTCTCGTGTCAAGACTGAGTTGGGTTGCTTTTGTCTGCTTTTGCATATATTATTACTGCAGGGAGTTTTTGGGCAATGGAATGTAAAGGCATTCCCAGTGTTGGTGGCTATTGAATTTTGGTCAAATCTTGTAGTTAGTTGAGTGTCGAATCCGGCTATGTCTGGAATTTATATCAATTCAATCAATTTGGACACCATGCTCGTTCAACTCTCATATCCATCCTTCAACATCACGCCACAAACCAGGCGACGAAGATTGAAATAATCTCCTTAGCATCAATGTAAAGCAAGAACTAGTAAGCAGTTTCTAGAGTAAGGATAGACTGAAAATTTCTAACGTAATCTAATCTGGTTGGTCAATCGACACTTGGAGAATTTTGAAGTTATCATCCTTCCAAGCTGACATATCACCGCCCCTGAAGCTTGGCTTTATCCAGATCTGTACCAATCATAAGGGTCGGATTTGTATGAGTGGGCAACACAGATTGTAATATAACTATCCATCTGGGTTGAGGAATATATATAGGGGCACAAGTCAACCAAGAAAAAACACTGACTCTGGTATCTCAATATTTACATACATATTTATGATCTTTGCAACTTCACGTACCTTACTACATACAAACTCTCAGGTTCTTGAAAAAAATGGATGGCTCCGTGTCAATATTGAATATATTTCCATTCCTGGTAATTCACCTACGGGTATTTATACAAATTTCCGGGAGTTCGCGATTTGATCACGGTAAAATACCAGGCTGGCGATCATAAGTGGCCGAAACAGATATATCACAGCGGTCATAATACTGCTCGCTGAAGATTCGTAAGGCATGTTCTGCCAGGCCTTTCTTGAAGTCAAAATAGAAACGTAATTATCCTTTTTCCCGAATGAATACTCCGTCGCAACACCCGACAAGGTGGGTTGCATCGATGGTGTCGCTCATGTCTCGGCGGAATATCGTCTACATTCCACATGCAAAGTATAAAATGGGATCGCAATGACCAGCAAGAAGAAATACGACCACATCTAGGTCTTGATTCTAGAAGTTGGAGAGATCAGCCTTGAGAGATATAACTCAACAGAAGCTCGCAATAAGTCTGCTTCTCGATTCTTCATCAGTTCAAATGATTATTGATGCTTTTCCCTTGTTTCTTGGGCTGGCCACTTTGGCTAATGCCCAGTTTGATGGATCTCGATATGCATGGTACACATCTCCAGCTACCGATTTCAACTCTGCCTTGCCCATCGGCAATGGCAGACTTGGTGGCTTAATGTACTGTACTCCAACTGAGCGAATCTCCTTGAATGAAAACTCTATTTGGAGCGGGCCGTTCCTTAATCGCCTCAACCCGAATTCCCATGGTGTGATAAATGAAGTTCGATCTTTACTGCAATCCGGAAATATCACTGGTGCCGGGCAGGTAGCCCTGCCAAATATGGCAGGGCAACCAACCTCTCCCCMGCAATATAACCCTCTTGGGCAGTTGAACTTAGACTTTGGTCATTCAAGTCAAGGATCTCTGGAGCGTTGGCTCGATACATATCAGGGAAATGCTGGGTGCAGCTATCTCTACAACGGAGTCAACTACACGTAAGAATATCTGCTAGATATGTCTATAGATATTTAGAAACACTAGCTGATGAAAGACTAGACGCGAGCTTATTGGAAATTATCCCACTGGTGTACTGGCTATGCGTCTACAGTCCAGTCAAAGTGGCCAACTCAATGTTAAAATTTCCCTCGCGCGTCAGCAGTATGTTACTAGCAACACAGCCAGTTCGAGCAACGGCATCAATTCCGTAACGATGAAAGCGAACAGTGGTAATACAAATCCAATATCGTTCACTGCTGAGGCACAAATCGTCACAAGTGGAGGTAGGTCACACGTGGATATCTTCAGAAATGGAGCATGCTAAAATACCAAACTTCAGGAACCGTTTCTACCAATGGTTCAACAATTACGGTCTCGGGAGCAACCACTGTAGACATCTACTTTGACGCGGAAACTTCGTACAGGTATAGTAGTGAAAGTGCGTGGGAGGCGGAATTGACTAGAAAATTGGCGAGTGCATCTAGCCAGGGCTATCCAGCTTTGCGAACAGCTGCAATTGCAGATAACACAGCATTGACTGGACGCGTCTCGCTGAATCTCGGAAACTCCGCTGGCTCTACGTCGAGCCTACCAACCAATCAACGACTGTCAAACTACAAGAATAACCCTGGCAATGACGTTCAGTTGGTCACATTGTTGTATAATTTCGGGAGACATCTCTTAGTGGCTTCATCTCGAGATACTGGAGCACTTTCACTTCCAGCAAATCTGCAAGGGATCTGGAATGAAGATTTCAGTCCTTCGTGGGGAAGTAAATACACCATTAATATCAACCTTGAAATGAACTACTGGCATGCGGAGACGACAAATTTAGCAGAGACGACGAAGCCCTTCTGGGATCTGTTGGCGCTTGCTCAAGGTCGTGGACAGCTGGCAGCTTCGAACATGTACGGATGTGGTGGATTCGTCCTGCATCATAACACTGACTTATGGGGTGATCCAGCCCCTGTTGACTACGGGACACCATATACGATTTGGCCTATGGGTGGCGCATGGCTCTCCACGCATCTCATGGAACACTACAGGTTTACAGGTAACGAGACTTTCCTGCAGGAAACTGCTTGGCCAATCCTCCAGAGTGCAGCCGAGTTTTATTTCTGCTATACCTTCACGTGGAACGGATACTATACTACTGGGCCGTCCTTGTCTCCCGAGAATCCATTTATAGTGCCGTCAAATGAGTACCAATCAGGGAGCGCGGAAGGTATTGACATTTCACCAACTATGGACAATTCTCTACTTTACCAACTATTCACTGATGTGATCGAGGCGTGCAAGGTTTTGCAACTATCGTCGGGCGACTGCTCTAAAGCCCAGTCATATCTTGCAAAGATCAAACCTCCACAGATAGGTTCATATGGACAGATTCTTGAGTGGCGTCAAGAATATGTAGAACAGCAGCCTGGGATGCGTCACCTTTCACCGCTGTTTGGGCTTTATCCAGGGTCGCAGATGACACCTACTGTATCGCAGTCTCTGGCTAATGCGTCAGGTGTATTGCTCAACCATCGCATGCAGAACGGTAGTGGAGACACGGGCTGGTCGCGTGCTTGGGTAATTGCCTGCTACGCACGTCTATTCAATGGCAACTCAGCATGGAGTAGTGTACAAGCCTTCTTGCAGACGTATCCGTTAACGAATCTATTCAACAGTAACAACGGCCCTCCTATGCAAATAGATGGCAACTTTGGCTTTACGGCGGGKGTGACAGAACTCTTTCTTCAATCCCATGGGAATATCGTTCACATCCTACCAGCGTTGCCGTCCTCTGTGCCAACGGGTAGCGTTACAGGTCTTGTTGCTCGCGGCGGTTTTGTCGTTGACATACAATGGGCGAACGGCGCTTTGGTATCTGCCACAATCACTTCAAAATTGGGAAACACTCTTGCGTTGAGTGTAGGAAATGGACAGACATTCAGCGTGAATGGCGTGACATATTCAGCGCCTATTGGTACGTCAGTTGGCGGAACGTACAAGATTACCTTAGGTGCTGGTAGTACGACGACTACGATAGTCACAAGTAGCACGAAGACCACATCTACTACTAGCTTCCAGACTTCAACGTCTACTTCGACATCCTCCGGTCCCAGTGGGACTGGAGTTGCGCAGCACTGGGGACAGTGTGGTGGACAAGGGTGGACTGGGCCAACCTCATGCGTTGCACCCTACACATGTCAAGTAGAAAACCCTTATTACTCTCAGTGTCTGTAAGCAGTAATGAGACAAGGTACAAGGATAGTCTAACGAACAAACCTGATTTGTCTGGATCGAGATCTTCTCCGCGTAATTTTCAGGGAGTAAAAACTGCACACGGCAGCTCAAATGGTAAGACTTGAAGAAATTGGAAGAGTAATTTGGTCCAGAGCTTATGAATGAATTGAGCTGGTAAATACATAGAAGAGAAGAGATTTAGACTATACTCCGGTACAGACTTGAAACGAGATTAGAAAAGCAAAGGTCAGGCAGGACCTTTATTACTTTCCAGCATTGGGAGTGGAAATCCCAGGAGCTTCGAGAAGTTCAAGCAGATCCTACCTCGGTATCTTTTCAAAGGTATGCGTAGAGCTGATCGAAACCGACATTCCAAAATAAGACATGAAGTTTCCTTGAGCTTTGGATAGCATTGATTCAACTTGCGAAACAAAATCTCGACCTGTGCCACTGAAAATCAAGCGACGATAGGGTTGGCAGATAATTGGACACTGGATGAGAGGGAAGTAATCTGGGGAAGAGACGAAAATCCGGGGAGCCGGGACAATCTACAAATTACCCTATCTTCCGTCAGGCCCCATGGAACGAACCTTGAATTGTCAATGAGCTTGTCCATCTCTACCGTCCTAGGTATGGTGTAGATCTTACGGTTATATGCAAAGGCTCCGCAATCATGGTCTTGGTGCTCACCCGGGTATTTAAAGCGGAATATTTTTTAGAACAACGTTTCACGTATATCGCCAATAAGATGCTAACGAGGACTCGGGTTGGCATGAATAGCTGGCAAGTCGCCCATTCGGGCATTATTCCGGTGGATGTCGAGTTGGATTTAGCGTGTACTACGTAAATCTACTTGACACCATAGATCAGATATACTAACTATATCAGAAATTAGTACCGATCTTAGTGCACACAAATTCTACACTCTAATTCTAACCTCTTCAGATCCATATTCGCGCCCACTTTCATTCTTAGATTGGCAGTCGCATTTCATGATAAATTATATACTCTCAAGAACATGTTGATCAAGATCAATGGTAAGAGTCAATCTCTAGTAAATTAGTAAACGTGGATTAACAGACTCTACATGGACGTATCTCCAACGAATTCCTGTTATGGACTGCCGTAAATAAGCGTCTTGGAAATGGTGGAAGCGAGAATATAGATTACAAACACAAATCATTACCAAAAAAACCCTATTGAGTGGGTACTTCTTTTTGAGGCGTTTGGTACGTATTCGGTTTACCGTTTTGGTTCCCGACAAGTTATTGAAGAATCTGACAACAATCTGGCTTCCTATACTTTGCTGATATTTGCGCCTGTTCTTTGAGAACAATTCCTGTACGCTTCCATGGCATCGCCCTTTCGCCCCTATCACTGGCCACGCGGAATTCCGCCTGAGGTTCGGCCGCACCCCAACGGAGATATCACACCCGCCGAGGCCAATGAGGAGGCTAAAGGTTGGTTGTTGTTTGACAGTAGGACTCTTTGATCCTTTCTAACATCCAATTTTGATGACCAATTTCATCCGTACATTACCTAGGAAAGATGGGTTTCTCGTGAAGCAGCTAGTATTCCCGATCATGATGGTGATTATGAACTCCGCCAACGACGGACGCTGGTTGAGACGTGGGCAAAGGCAGACCAAGAACTAAGAGATGTATGTTAGGACACAAGTTTTTGGCGGATCAAGAGAAAGGTCACATGCCGTTTGCAACCCCATATATTGATCATGGCGCTGCTACTATCTAGTCCTACCATCAAAGGGCGCCTGTTCGAGACGCACTCGCATACCCAGAACCAGCTCTGCGCAACGTTCATAAATTCTACCCTCCATACGCCCGTTTCATGTGTCTCGCCCCCCTAGGCCCTTCATACCGTTCCAACCTCTCAAAATGGATTAAGCTTTACATTCTGTCCTGTCGTCTGGACGGTGAAATGGGCCATTGTCTCCTTGTTGATAGCCATATTGGAGTTGATCCTAATCCCGCTACATTCCCAGATCCTTCTACATTTCAGATCACAGACGTCTTACCATGGATGTTTCTCGAAACAGCTAATTTCAATACAATAACCATGACTTGCAGGGGCACTGTGCTATTTATGAACCAGCTTCGCACATGGTTCCTCGTCAATCAAGACGATTTAGATACAGGCCGTATTACGACTGTGGAGTTTAAGCTAAATGGCGAGATTGCTGACTCGCTTCGTCGGAGAGCTTATAATATGTTTCCCGTGTCCCTTGCGCTTTGTGTAGGTTATGATCCTCTATGGGAGGTCAGAGAGCGCAGAGTGGGTGGATACCTACCTGACCAGAATGCCGCGTAGGTTATAATATTTCTAGGGTGAGAAATAAGCTAATAGTTTTATCTGCAGACTGGACATGACCCTGCCTGTGATTGATATTCTGGAAGGGGCCAAATTACGGGGGGAATTCCTTCAACATTTCGACGGCGCACGAGATGTTTGGACAGAAGATATCGAGAGATATGCTCCCGGGTACTTGCAGATGGAGGCCGAAGGGAACGAGGCGGACTATGATCACGAACGTCTCATGGATCCGGACGAAGCTTAGCATTCGTGCAAGTGTAAAATTCCTCCCTCACATAGAAATGTATTATACTACGAGTAACCCTAGTCTCTGGGCCCTTATCTTATCGTCACATGACCTTATCGCACCGTGGGGGTTTACGACGGACGAGGGCAGATCCTTCGGGGTGAGTCAGGTCCTGTCCCTTAACATAACTAAGTTAACTTACAGCAGTGACTCACCTTCCGCTTATCGGACACCACCAATTAATTCTACATAACCACCACCTCATCGCATCGTCTCTTGTGCGCTCTCCCATCATACCGCTTAATTGACTTCCCTTTTTTTTTGAAGCAGAATACTTAATTGACTTTCTGCTTTTCTGATCTACCATCTTCTCGCGTTTCGTCCGCCTCTTCCTACTTCAATTGATCTTCGCCACGGCGCGGGGCAACCACAAATTTCATCCAAGATGGAAGCTATCAAAGCAACGTTTGCGAAGTGCAAGCAGGAGAAACGCTCTGCGCTAGTCACCTATGTCACAGCTGGATACCCGACTGTTGAAGAGACGATTGATATTTTACTGGGGTTGGAGAATGGAGGAGCTGGTAAGTCTTTTTCGGTTTGCCACAGTACCCGAAGAAGTTTTGAACTGGCTGACATGAATTCTCCTGGATGCTAGACGTAATCGAGCTCGGTCTACCCTTCACAGATCCGATCGCCGACGGTCCCACGATTCAAAGAGCCAACACTCAAGCCTTGCTCAATGGCGTCACAATCCCCATGGTTTTGGACATTGTCCGCAACGCCCGGCAAAGGGGTCTTCAGGTCCCCGTTCTATTCATGGGATACTACAACCCGTTGCTACAATATGGAGAAGAGCGAATGCTAAAAGACACAAAAGAGGCTGGTGCAAATGGTTTTATCATGGTGGATTTGCCCCCTGAGGAGGCTGTGCGATTCCGTAATCTGTGCACCTCGACTGGATTATCATATGTGCCTCTCATTTCGCCTGCCACATCCGATTCGCGCATGAAGCTTCTATGCAAGATTGCCGATTCGTTCATTTATGTTGTTTCGCGAATGGGTGTCACTGGCGCCACGGGTTCACTCAGCACTGGTCTGCCCGATCTCCTGAAACGAGTCCACCAATACTCGGGAAACATCCCCGCCGCATTGGGATTCGGGGTTAGCACTCGCGAACACTTCTTGGCTGTCCAGGAACTTGCGGAAGGTGTCGTTATTGGAAGTCAAATTATTACAGTCCTCGGACAAGCTGCCGAAGGTCAAAGGGCGCAAAAAGTCGAGGAGTATATTACCAGCGTCACCGGCCGCAAGTTGGAGCGAGATGCTCATGGTAAGATTGCCAATGTCAAAACAATCCTTGAAGTCGTCGAGAAGAAGCCTACAGAGGACGAGGATTTGTCTCAACCTACCGCCGTCATCACTGAAGGCGAACCTGGTGTTGGTGCTGGAGCGCCTGGTCCCGTCGACCAGCTTGAGAGTTTGAATGGAGGTGACCCATCTGCTTTGCCTGATCGCTTCGGAGAGTTCGGTGGACAGTACGTTCCAGAATCTCTTATGGACTGCTTGGCGGAACTATTGAAAGGATTCAACGAAGCCAGGAATGACCCCAAGTTCTGGGAGGAATTTCGCTCTTATTACCCCTACATGGGCCGCCCCAGCAATCTGCATCTCGCTGAACGCTTGACGGAGCATGTCGGTGGTGCGAACATTTACCTCAAGAGAGAAGACCTGAACCATACTGGAAGCCACAAAATCAACAACGCCCTTGGTCAGGTCCTCCTTGCCCGAAGACTAGGAAAGAAACGCATCATTGCCGAGACTGGTGCCGGTCAGCACGGTGTCGCAACCGCAACTGTCTGCGCCAAGTTCGGTATGGAATGTGTTATCTACATGGGTGCCGAGGATGTGCGTCGTCAAGCATTGAACGTTTTCCGTATCAGACTTTTGGGTGCATCAGTTGTCGCTGTCGATGCCGGTACGAGGACCCTTCGCGACGCTGTCAACGAAGCAATGCGCGCCTGGGTCGTCGATCTTGACACTACTCACTACATTATCGGATCCGCCATTGGACCTCATCCTTTCCCCACGATTGTGCGTACCTTCCAGTCTGTCATTGGTGACGAGACCAAGGAACAAATGAAGGAGCTTACTGGAAGATTACCCGACGCCGTTGTCGCTTGTGTCGGTGGTGGAAGTAACGCAGTCGGCATGTTCTACCCCTTTTCCAACGATCATAGCGTTCAACTGCTCGGTGTCGAAGCTGGTGGTGATGGAGTTGACACAGGCCGTCACGCCGCCACCCTGAGCGGCGGATCCATGGGTGTCCTACACGGTGTACGCACCTACGTCCTCCAAGATAAGCACGGTCAAATCCAAGACACCCACTCCGTCTCCGCAGGTCTGGATTACCCTGCCGTCGGACCTGAGTTGAGTAATTGGAAAGAAATGTCCCGCGCAAAATTCATTGCTGCCACCGACGCTGAGGCCTTCCAGGGGTTCAGGATGCTTACTCAGCTTGAGGGTATCATTCCTGCATTGGAGTCATCGCATGCCGTCTTTGGAGCTATGGCGCTTGCGAAGACGATGAAGAAGGGTGAGAATATTGTGTTGAATCTGAGTGGTAGAGGTGACAAGGACGTGCAGAGTGTGGCTGAAGAACTTCCTCGTCTTGGACCTCAGATTGGCTGGGATCTGAGATTTTAGTTGACAGACTCAAGATAAAAAGTCCTTTGATTCATGCTCAAGAAAGTATCTTGTGTTGATCTAAAAGTCTCGATGTTGTCGTTGAAGGACAAGGTTGGCGTTATGGGTTTCTCTTAGAAGTTATATATCGACTGTACAATTGATATTATATCAAAGTTCTTCATGCACTCAGTCTAGAATGTCCTCTCACTTGAGGTACGCCTATGATAATACGCCTATGGTAGGGACTTTATTAGGCCAATAACCCTAAGGGCTACCTTCCAAACAAAGACGTATCGCATTGATGAATCTCGCTGTGGAGGTATTAGAATAGAATACGTAGCATGCCAAAAATTTCTATAATGAGAAAACTGATATGAATTTAACACTTCATGTGGATTACTTGCTTGTTCGACGAACAATGACCAGCGGGGTCACATGACAAATGGAGCTCTTGGAGGTGTAGCTCCATCTCCACACTTATCCAGCCATCTACTCATCTTCGCAACCTACCTTCACGACTATCTGTCGGTCGCATCCACGCCGGACATACCACCCTACACCTTCAGACACCCTCCGACCATTCTTCATTATTCCTGCCGACTTCTTCCATTGACAAATCGCCGCCGTATCCTGTAGACCAGGGTACCCAGCGTCCAAACACCATACGTAATGGCTCCCGAGTTCACCGATCCCCGCATGACCTCCATCAAACCTCGCATTCGCTACAATACCATTGGAGGCGTGAACGGGCCTTTGGTCTTTTTGGATAATGTATGTTTTGACTTTGACGGATAGGAGGAGATTGGTGTCTTATCGTTGAGCAGGTCAAATTTCCGCGATATAATGAGATTGTTTCTTTGACGCTGCCTGATGGAACGGAGAGGTCTGGTCAGGTTCTTGAGGCGAGGGGTGCGTTTATATTCGCTGCAAGCTTTGATGTGCGATTTACTGACGTTTTATAGGAAACCGAGCTATTGTTCAGGTGCGAACCACCTCATCTCTGACCTTGTTGGTTCGACTAACTGTAGATGATTAGGTTTTCGAAGGCACCTCCGGTATCGATGTGAAGAGGGTATGTCTTCTATAACACACCCATGTAACAAAGAAGGCTGACGGTCATAGACAAAAGTCGAATTCACAGGACACAGCTTGAAGCTCGGCGTCTCCGAAGACATGCTGGGACGAGTCTTTGACGGCTCTGGTCGAGCAATCGACAAAGGCCCCAAAGTGTTGGCCGAAGACTACCTCGACATCAACGGCAGTCCCATCAACCCTTATTCTCGAGTCTATCCCGAAGAAATGATTTCTACCGGTATCTCTGCCATCGACACCATGAATTCTATTGCTCGAGGACAAAAGATCCCCATCTTCTCGGCTTCTGGTCTTCCGCATAACGAGATTGCTGCGCAGATTTGTCGTCAGGCTGGTTTGGTGAGACCCACCAAGGATGTGCACGATGGACATGAGGATAACTTTTCGATTGTGTTTGCGGCTATGGGTGTGAATATGGAGACTGCTCGATTCTTTACACGCGACTTCGAGGAGAACGGTAGTATGGAGCGTGTCACGCTATTCCTTAACTTGGCCAACGACCCTACGTATGTCCATATATTTCGAGATCTACGAGTATTCTGCTAACTGATACAGGATCGAACGTATTATTACACCCCGTCTTGCCTTGACAACAGCCGAATACTACGCCTACCAGCTCGAGAAGCACGTGTTGGTCATCTTGACTGATCTTTCAGCCTACTGTGACGCTCTCCGTGAGGTCTCTGCTGCCCGAGAAGAAGTGCCCGGTCGACGTGGTTATCCCGGTTACATGTACACTGACTTGTCGACCATCTACGAGCGTGCCGGTCGTGTGGAGGGCCGTAACGGATCCATTACTCAAATTCCTATCTTGACCATGCCCAACGACGATATCACTCACCCCATTCCTGATTTGACGGGTTATATTACCGAGGGCCAGATCTTTATTGATCGTCAACTCGACAACAGAGGTATCTACCCTCCTATCAACGTCTTGCCGTCTCTCTCGCGTTTGATGAAGTCTGCTATTGGCGAGGGCCGTACCCGCAAGGATCACGGTGATGTCTCCAACCAACTGTACGCCAAATACGCCATTGGACGAGATGCCGGTATGTCCCCTTCTCTTCTTCCTTCAACAACTAAATCAGTGCTAACGTATTCAACTTGACAGCCGCCATGAAAGCCGTCGTCGGTGAAGAAGCCCTCTCAGCCGAAGACAAACTCTCCCTCGAGTTCCTCGAAAAATTCGAACGCTCCTTCATCTCCCAATCGCCCTATGAATCCCGCTCAATCCAGGAATCGCTCGACATCGCCTGGAATCTGTTGCGTATCTATCCCAAGGATTTACTGAACCGTATCCCTAAGAAGGTTATTGATGAGTTTTATGCTCGTTCCGGAAAGGCGGGTCGTGCTGCGAAGTCTGCTGGTGCTGGTGGAAACAAAGACACAAGAGATAACTCGGAGCCGCAGCAGCAGCAGAGTGAGAGTTTGATCTAGTCTTTTTCGTTCTTGTCGACTGAGTAGTGCATTGTAGCTTTTTCGTTTCTTTTTCTTCGTTACGCTTTGTTTCTCAAGTTTTTAGGCTCGTTGTATGGTATGCATCATATCATGTATATTGGTGAATTATAGAAATATGAGCTGGCAGTACATAATTTACATACCCTTGTCTACTTGCGATAGGTACGATATTGAGTAAAGATGTATCGGATTCATTTATGTTAGGATATCATAAGACTCTCATAAACAGAGACAGGAGGATCATAATGGTCATCGTTTCATGTCTGCCACCCCCGTCTGTATTGTAACGCCGAAAAAATAACATTGAGGATGGAACCATTCCAGAAAGAAGGGGGAAAAGAATAGAGAACTCCGCGCGAAATGTATATCAGTAAGAATAAACGCAACAGCGGGAAAAAAACAATATGAGTGGAGGATGCAAATGAGCCGAGCTGAGATTGCAAATGGTTGATGTTAGTCGATCTTCGCGCCGGCCAAACCTCTGGGTGTCGTGAGATTGTTCGATAGTCGGATTCGAGCATTCTTGGTATGTTTCTTGAGCTTTTTGCGGGCTACCATGACGGGCACGGAGGATTTCGTGACGAGGTAGTTTGAGAATGAGCCTAGTAAAACTCTTCGTAGTGTTAGTATGGTTGGTAGAAAGATGGAAGATTGGCATACCCTTTGATAGCGCTGCGGCCTCTGGATCCAAGGATCACGAGTGTTGGCTCGAGACCATCAATCTGGAACAGTTAGTAGGCATCTTTTCTAATATGATGGTGGAATTGCTTACAGCTTCCGTGAGCAAATGCTTCGGACTCTTGCAATGAATCACCTCCACTGCCACACGGACTTGCAGCATCGTCTTCCTTAGCAATCGCACACATGTATTCGATATATCCTCAATAGCGCGAATACGTTCCTGCTCAGACCTCGACAATGCTCGCGCATCGACCGAGTTGTTCCGCGAGTTGGCCTTGCTATCTGTCCCGCTGAAATAAGCCGCGAGAGCATTCGGTAACAGACTCGTAGTAGCCGAAGACGAAGTCTGGTACTTCTGAGCTGTCTTTTCGGTTTGTTTGCCCACAATATCAGTTGTGTGTTTGATGACCGTTGCGCCGTCGCCTATCTGCACACCTGTGTTGAGATCAACGCCGGATGCGTTTTCGTCGGCTACTGCGTAGACAGCAAATAGTGTATCGCCATCACGCAGGATTGTGCCAATTGTCCATTCAAGCGCATATACAGACTCCTCGCTGAGATCCGTTGCAACAAGGTACTTGCGCTGCCGTCGGAATCCTTCTTCTGCTTCTTGCTGTAAACGAGGGAAATCGCCTCTGATAATGGTTCGGATCGCTCGGTCGGGAATGGTCGTATCGACAGAAGACATATGAATACTGAGGTTTTGCGCTTGTTTGATGTCTGACAGATCTGCTTCTTCGTCGGAGCCGACTGGTGTGTTGAGGCCGGATCCATTGTGATCGAAACTGGTGTGTGGGTGAACGCCGGATTTTCTAGGCCCTGGTGATAGTACTGTCCTGCGTCCGTTGGCTCGTCGATGCGTCACGATGGGGCCATTCAACTCTTCTATTCAATTGTTAGCATATGTAAAATCCAGCCAGTCTTATAAAAAAGACGCACCCTCTTCATTCAACTCATTGAATAAACTCAATGCACCGCCTACTCTAGGACCGCCCAGTGGAAGCGGACCAGGTCCTCTCTTCCCACTCCAACCACCAGGTGGAGCTGGAGACCGAGCAGGCGATGTTCCCGGTGACAGCCCTTTCGTCTTACTCCTGCCACGAGGCGATTTGCTTCTCCCTCGCGGGCCGACCGGTCCTTTGCGAATGTCATACGCATCTTCTTCTTCCGAGCTTATGTCATCGGCCTCATCGCTGCTTTCGGCAGAATCCGAGTTCTCATCTGCGCTTTCTGTTCTGTCCTTGGCGAGACGTTCACTTCGGTCGGGATCGTTGTTGAAGTTGAGCGAGGCTTTGGAAAGGGTGGGCGAGACACTGGCTTCGGACACGGAGTCGGGCGCATCGTGATCCATGGTGGCGGACAGGCCTTGTTCAGAGTCGGACAGTCTATGCTTCCTGAAGAAGCGGCGTGGCTTTATCGTGGGTTCACCATATGATGCAGACTGCAATTGAGATTGAGACTGAGACGGAGTGCGGTAGCGCGGGGACAGTTGTTCGAAGGCGGCGGGGTCTATGCGAGATACGTGATTAGGTGTCAGCGTTTCAGCCCGTTTTTGTCCACGTCGTCAAGAACAGTGCAGTTTTTTCAATTGAATTATTGATCATCTGAAGATGCAAAGACACAAACAAGAAAAGGACTTACTGCTGGCTTGTCGCTGCGGAAGCACGATGTGGGGAACACTCGGCTGCATCCCATACAGAAAGCCCGCGTCAATGTCCACCTCCCGCTCCTTCAGCGCTCTCTGCTTCTTCTCCTTCTCGCGTTTTAAATGTGTCACGCTGTCCGACGACCGTCGCTCGGGTTCCACATCATCTGCATCGTCGCTGGGCTCGTAGATGCCATCGTCCCACTCTGAGAGTAAGGTGTTGGTCCATGGTGAGGAACTGGCAAGAGGGCTGCTGACGGATGCCCGGCGGCCACTCTCGGATTTCTCTTGTTTGTTTCTGAGCAGACTGAGATTCTTGCCGCGGCCGCTGCTAATGCGACTGGAGTTGTCTGCGCGGGGAGCTTTCGGACTCTTCAGTCCATCGAGATTGCGCAGGAGCTCCTTTCGCTCTTGTTCCAGGGTCTGTTCGAGAGACATTCTGAGTGGTCTCTGGTCTTTGCCGAACATGATGAAAGGAAAAGAAGAGAAGAGAAGGAAAATCCGGGGTGCGGGGATGCCGTCTACGTTGCAGCCAGAGCGAGGCCCGACGATTGGCTTGGATTGGTGGCCACCAACGCCCGAGGAGCCTATCTAGCCGCAAGCGGACACCTAACAAACAGTCGCTGGAAGGAAAGTCCGCCGATGATCTTGAAAAGTCACCGGTAGGTTGATAAGTAGTATGTATGTATCCCTGAAAGGTTCGCGCAGCCCAGGTGTCTCGATTCGATTGGTATTGATGGTATGTGTTGTCTTTGGTGAGTAAGCAGCTTGCACACTTGACTAAGGATAGAACAGAGTCAGTTGAGATGTTACACTATGAAGCTACAAAGAGAAAGCGCGAAAGACTGCACTTACCTTTGCTATAGTACACTCCGAACAGAGAGCGGCCTGGATTCAGGTTCACCAATGTGCAACCACGGACCAAAAGAAGCTTCTTTGGCAGGACCAAGTGGGATGACTGTGCAACTGCAGCTGCACGACAATAGATAGCACTTGCACAATCACAGTGTTTCTGGATAATAGAATGACAAGCTTCCTCTGACATGCTCCGACATCTTAAATCATGCTATCCGCAGCGGACTTCGCCTCCCTGCCTCCATGCTCATCTTGGCTCGCGGGGTAACGAGGCTTGGAATGGAACTAGGGTCTGGGCATTACCTACATCAATGCCTATGAGCCCTTGCCATTTGCAAAATTGAAAAGTTGGGCTGGTCGAGACTCGCCTAAGGATTTTGCATGATAAACCTTATCATGATAATGTAAATACGTACCCTAGGTACGTCGAAGTGGGTCTCTGAGTACGTATTCGACGTTGGTAGAGCTAGATGAGATGGGATTAAAAAAAAAGAAATATCGTACACCGCATCGTCCCACCTGCTCTCGATTGGTCTCGGCTCCCTTGTCATTAGAAGCTGCTATCAGAACCAGAAGTGGTCCAATAAGATGATCTCGTGGATGAATGTGAGCTGATAACCAGCTGTAAGAAGGTTGTTTTCTGGCTTTGCCAAGATGGTGGTCGACTAATGTTTGCACTCGCAAATCAATCTTATAAGCTCATTAGTATGCATAATATTGGTAATCCGAAGCTAAGCGCACTAATGTACTTACTAAATACAATATCTATCTTGATATAGACAAGGAACAAGAACGTTGAGATCGCGCCATCAAAAATTCACCATACCCAAGGAAAACGTACACCTGATATCTTTATTCTTTCATCCATCGCATTGATGATAACTGGAGAGTCCCGTCATATTAACTTTTTCCTTCTCTCACCAAAGAGAGGGATGACCGATACTGGTTGTAGTGCACCTAGGGCTAAAATCCCACATCGGATGGGAAGGTACTTGGGACGCTGCGGTTAAACAGTTGAAGCGTCGATTTCTGACTTAACAGATTGTTCACAAGGACTTGTCCTTTCTAAATATGATATAACTCAAAGATGTAAGGACTGAGAATTGATCCAACGCGAGCTTACACGAAGTCTTTGGTCACACTAATGTGAAGCAAAATTTACTAATGTGGTATCATTGTGTCAGGGTATCTGGTGGATATCCGCCGAGGCTATCCTAATTGATCATCGGATCCTTTGTAAATCGAATGACTTTTTACATGGTAAATCCTATGATAATAATGTAAGTACGTACCTACGTACTTCATTTCCCTGACGCCGTGGGACCTTTTTCTTCTGTTTTAGTGCCCACCCCGTCGCCGCTTTCGCTCCCTAAGTATAATTAAGTATACCTCTGAGCGCTGTGATCAGATCAGTGAGCTTTATATAAGCTTGTGAGGACGCTCAATAATCTATTAACCTGATTCACATCTAGTTTTCGCTTAGTAAGACGTAGCAACGTCTTATTCCTTGTCTAGTGTTAGACCGGATTATAATATTACCAAGGGAGGACTTGAAAATGCATTTTTAATTCAAAATATATAACCGATAGTAGAGATGGGATTTGAGGGTGGTTATTTCGACTTCACCAGCGTGGGTCGAGTGAATGCTGAAGCCCAGCATTTCATTCGTTGATGTCACAAGCCGATCATTCAAATCTGAGTCATTCAATCTGATATCAGAACTAAAACGTAATGGCTGTAATAGTTCGTTCAAGGAGCATCAGGATCTGGATTGTTAAACCAAGAGCGAGATGATACACCGCTGACTGTCCCCTCCCGTCCAGTAGGCTCAAGATTAAGTATCTGGATCACATTGCCCTTTTTCTGCATCCAGGCACCAGGCGCGTATAGAGACTGCTGAGGTCCAATGGTCCAAAAGCGACCAAGGTTATTACCATTGATCCAGACCACCCCCTTGATCCATTCAGGTAGTTCGATCCAGGTATCGCTGACGGTAGGTAGATCAAACGTCCCGGTGTAGAAAATGGGGCTCGACGACGGCGAAATGTTGGTCGGTACTCTGGCCTGAGGAGGTGGAGCCATCCCTTTGTCCAGTGGAAGCGTATACACATTCCAGCCAGCCAACGTGCTGCCGCCAACGGTGACGTCGCCGAAGATACCTTTGGTCTGGTATGGGATGTCTGGGCCAAAGTTCACACGGCCCATGTTTTCGTTCAGAAGATCCAAGACGTCGCCGGACTTCAAATTCAGCGTTATGACCTGTTGAGAGCCATTAGGATACATACTGTCGAAGACTCCTTTTCGCTCCCCATTGACGTAAACTATAATTCGGTCTTTGGCCGCGATGCCAGGTTGGAGAGTTCCGCTATATGAGCTATTGACAGTGGTACGGTAGAGGGTAAATCCGTACCACTGGCCGAGCGCCTCCATATTTATAGGTGACTCCATGCTATAAGGACTAGGCAATCCATCGAATAGGTAGAAAGCTGGCTTGACGTCAACGGATGGTATTGCTATCATTGGGGCTATACTGGGGACATCCGGTAAATCTGACGAAAATGGACCAAGTGTTTCTCGAAGGGCATAATAAATATCGTTATGCCGGCCTGATTCATCTAGAGGAGCACCGTAATCGTAGCTGGTTGTAACAGGCTGAGTTCCGCTACCAAAGTCTGAACCGCTTTGAAAGCCAAAGTTGGTCCCTCCATTGAACGTATAAATGCTGAAACAGTCACCATTGGTCACGACACTCTGGAGTGTTGATTGAGCAAATGTTGTTGTTTTCGTTGGTGACGTACTGATCCGGCTGATCTTCGATATTATTCCAGTAAATGTAGCTAAAGATGGTATTCAAACTCATTGCACGTGCCATGGCAAGTCGATTACTCCAATCCTGCCATGGGACACGTTGTGGATCCATCTGGCCCCCGATAAGTTGGAAGGGTTCACCATTGAGGAGGAAACTAGTTGCATTGTACGTAAAAGAACCAGCAAGGGCTGACCTTGCATGGGCAATAGCCGCAAGAGCAAGATAAATTGTGGTAAAAGTACGCATCACGTTTTAGAAACAGAAGTAACCGGCCTGGCTTTGTGAGCATTTACAAGGCCGCAATTCAGTTTACTTGGATAGCCGAATCTCTGCTTCTACCGTCCTCCTAGCGGCTGATATCACTCCGATTGTCATGTTACGGTTGTATGGCATTTGGCACAATATTACAGTTACTCGCACTAGCATTACTGGATGTTTCACGCCTCCACTAGGTGTTCTTCCTTCATGTCAGCACTAATGCCGGCAAATTACTTTCATGGACTAATACGGGGAAAGCTATGGGCGGGATACCACCACGGAATATGATTACTTGGAGTAAGTAGATCGAAAATAAACACGAGACTGAAATCAGCGGTTACGACACTCAGCAAAAGCAATTACTTTAATCAAAGTTTTTTACTGGAGAGCTCCTTTTAAATTTAGATTGTATTCGCTAAGCAATAGTATACATATATTCTTTCTCCTACTCAGATATTTCCAATTTGAAGGCATCATCACATATCAGTTTCCACTCTTATTCTTATCTTTATTGTCTAAAATCCAAACTCTTCTTCATAGGCGATTGTAGCCCATACTTCATCATCATGAAGCTCCTGGCGCTGTCGCTGCCGACATTGGCGGTTCTTTTCGGCGCGCCGCAGATGATAGCCGCTCTTTCATCAGGGGACGCAGCAGCCATGTACGAAGCGTACAATAATGCGTTTCTATACACGTCTGGTAGTAATGCATACTACAAAAAGACGTTAGCTGACTCCGGCGAAGATGGATCATGGACGGAGGATCTCGATATCGATGTGGTCTTAGATGCCTATGAGGTTACCGGCGATGGGGATAAACTGGCATTGATAAGCGACCTATTAACAACATGGCTAACATACAATCCTTCCCCGTGGAGTGGGGATGGATGGAATGATGATATCGGCTGGKACACATTGGCTCTTATGCGTGGTTACCAGTATACCGGCAACTCAAACTTCTTTAATCAGGCAAAAGCCGGATATGATATGGCTTTTGCACGAGGATGGGACACAGCACACAATGGTGGTGGTATCTGGGAATTGCAACCCGAAGATGATTCCTCTCCAGCAAAAAAATGCGTTTTGTCGAATAACAGCCTTGGGCGGGTGGCTTGCATGATCTATCAGAGCACGCACGACACAACCTATCTGGACCAGTGTACTGAGATTTATGACTGGGTCTGGCACAATCTATTTGTCCCTTCTACCGGGGAGGTATATGGTTGTATCGAACAGGACGGGACAATTGATTACGGTGACGATCCCTACAACCAAGGCGCCATGGCAGACATGGCGAACATGCTCTGGCTTATCAACAATGATGAAACCTTTCTCAACGACGCGGAAATGGCAATAAGCTATGCTTTCAACAAGGTAACTGCCAATGGCATATTTAGTTCTCCCTCCAATACAGTTGGCTGGACAGACGATCTGACACGGGGCATGGGACGTACTGTTTGGAACAATCGACTTTGGAGTACATACTATTCGTCGATGGTTAACAATGCAAATGCGATTGTCCAAAACAAASGAGCCGATCTTGGCATCACGTGGAATGGATGGGATACGCCTACTCCAGAAGTCAACACGCTAACAACGAATCAAGTTGCTGACGCGGCGGCCTGGCTTCAGTGGGTGCCGGCCAGCCAGCCAAATGACATTGCAGGTCTTCACATCATCACCAATGTCGAGAGTGGCTTKGCCMTTGATAGCATGGGCACTTTTGGATCGGGTCAAACTGTCAACCAATGGGGAGTGAACGGCGGTCAGAATCAGCGCTGGTTACTTTCGCAGAATTCTGACACCTCATGGAACATTATCAGCACGTCAACCTGGCAAGCGCTGGATTGTCCTGGTGGAAGCAATGCAGAAAATCTTACAATGATCCAATGGCAACCTTCCCGTAACAACAACCAGCGTTGGTGGATCGATGAGCAGTCTGATGGTACTTACAAGATCTGGAATCAAGCCAGTCAGATGGCCTTGGATGGCGCCTCTGCTAGCGACAACGGCGCTCCGTTGATTCAATGGGGTTGGAACGGCGGGGCTCAACAGCGGTGGAACCTCAAATAATTGCTTTGATATCAACGGAGTGTAACTTCATGCACGTGGATTGGAATTTGGCTCCTGTCTTGCCTGCATCCTTTCCTGTACTTGTGTTCAAAGTCCGAGAAGTTCCATCACGACTCCCGCGTATTTTGACTCCAGCAACATGTAGTTAACCCGATTTTTGATCTCTATCTATTGATTGTACCGTGTTGATTCTGTGGCATTCAGATTGAGAATCTACAAATCCATAGGAAATATTTGAAGGATCAGATAGTTTTCTATCCACAATATTCTATTCAGCATAGTGCGTAGTGCTCTGTGATATTTATAGATTGACAAATATGTGAAGCTATTCCCACTTCATGAAGCACATACAACAAAGGGTTCCGGGTCAAAGTATTATCCGGATTAGGATATTCCCTGCGTTCGGACACCTCTAGACCCGCCTTGCTACAAACTTACCTCACTGCTAGCCGCCGTCCAGTCCATTGTGTGACATTAGCAAAAGCCCCAGAAACAATTACCAGACAGCCGATACACTTTATTTAACCGAAGAATGGAAGGATAAAATTGACACTATAGTCAACATTCTCCTCCTGAGACTCGATGCGCTCTGTCTTGGTGCCAAAGACGGTGTCCCAGACCCGCGTCTGCTTGCCGTAGTTGTGGCTTTTTTTCCAACCCGTGCGATGGTGCAAGTCGTGGTCTTCGACAACGAGCTCCATCTTGAAGTACCTGAGAAGCGGCGCGACGGTTAGACCGGGGGCGCCGTGGATGCGCAGGCCGCTGTGACCAAACATCTCGATGAACATGACGTACTCGTAGCAGATCCATGTCTCGTAGAAGCCCATCGGCAGACCAAATGCCTGGCAGCTGTAGAAGGCAAGGACAGGTATCACAACAATGTCAAATAGTTCCTGCCAGCCGTCGGCATACAGTGACAGGAGCGTGTTTGGATGCTTGGTGAGGTGATGAGTGCGATGGAACTGCCAGAGCCAAGGGATGTCGTGCATAGCACGATGATACCAGTAGAACCAAAAATCTACCATGATGGGATACATGGTGAGCTCAATGAAGAGCCAAAAGAGCGGCCAGCCGATAAGGGATTCGGGTGTCTTTGTTGCGTCCCAGGCCATCATGACGGCCATGAGAGTTCGAGCGGTGCCCGTCATGAGGAGGGATGTGACAACTTCGCGGACCCGGACGTCAGGGACGCCGTCTCGGCCGTGCTTGTCACCGTCAAGGTAGCCGTATATGTGGCCGAGGTTCTTGATCATCTGGACCTCGCGGATGCCAGTGTATTTGATCCAGGCACCATACAGCAAGGCGGCCCATCCGAACGTTAGGTTGTGGCCCGTGTACTGCACATACAGGTAGTGTATAAGCATCGGGACGCTGGCATAGCCTAACACCCACTTATGAACTTGCCACAATGACGCGTTAGGGATTCTGTCTGTTTTGGCAAAGACTGGCACTGGTCGTTTGAGGTCAACAGGGTGAATATTAAGAAGTTCAATAGACCAGTGCCATATCGACCATTGACTCCTGTCGCCACCCTGCCATGTTGACTTCATCGAGTCTTTCGGATTTCGCCTCACGGCGGTCGCTGTGTCCGTTTCTCTAGACATTGTATGAAAGGTAAAATCTAATAGGTATCAGGTAAGAGCTGTAAAAAGTGAAATGTAGGAAAGGCGTGCGATTGTCGAGGCCGCTGGTCTTTTCTACCTCTTTGACTTGTCGATTGTCTTCGACAGTCTTGTTTCAAACGAGGTTCAGTTGCTTAAAGTCCTTGGTTGTAATCGATCTTCGGTGGAGGCTGAGGGGTACGATCTGAGCCTCGGCTCGATATAGGTAAAGGGCTGTTGCCAGGAGGTGAGTCATAGATCACATGCATTACAGGTCTACGGCATCCCCAGGCAGAGCAACCAGAGATTTTCCCAATTTCAGGACATGAGTGAAGTCAGCAAGACTAGATTGATTGTATTGGCTGCCCCACTCGAACGTAAACTTCACTCCATACTCACATAGTGATATATAGTTGTGGGGATTGTGCATCTGTAGTTTTGTGACATACGAGAGCGTGCCCAACAATATTGATCTCAGTGCACTGTAAATACAAGCGAGTTCACCTATGGCCAGCGCAGACCTGGGCCTTGGGAGTGTCGGTGTGAAGGGAACTAGGCTGGAGACCTGATGACACAGAAGTAGGTGTGTGGGCCTAAACAACGAGACTTGGACCCATTCTGCACCCAGGTGCAAAACTTTGAGTCGAGGACTTGTTAAATCAAGGTGGATTTTTGGAAGTATAAAGTTGTTCAATCCTCTCCCAATCTTGAGGGGCTGATGGACTGGTTATATACACCATATATGCACAGACCCTTATCGGAACAACACATCCACCGAGATATTCTATATTCAAAAGTCTTACTTTTTGTTATTCTTTTATATTTAAGCTTATATATAAGCGTTTCGATTGGGTTGAATTTATAGCTATAATCTAGGCTTTATTCTCTATTAATTTACATTTGATTTCAACGTAATATATCTATTAATTAGAGTTCTATAACTCAACTCTGTTTAATGACTTCATTCCCCAGTGCCGCATACTCTTCCGGCCTACTTATTTACCACCTATTCGCCAAAGCTCGGGCATTCTTGTTACTCAAAACGTTTGATATTCATCTTAAATTTCTGATGGGTTCACCAGAAGATGTTGTTGAACTAAGTCGTCCCACCGCTTCATACGAGGATAAGTATGGAGGTAAACATGACACCAAAATAATCGGTAATGCGGCGCCCAGGGAAGCGATGGAAATTCAAAAGCCCAGCTTATTTACAAAAAACATGTTCTTAGTATACTTCACTCGCTTCCAAGCTTCGAGAGATTATGCTAATTAAGCTTAGCTCTATGGCTGTCTGCTTGTAGCAACCTTCAATTCATTTATCAACGGCTACGATGGTTCGCTGATGGGTGCCATTAATTCCTACCCCCAATATCGAACGTATTTCGGCTTTCAGGTAGGTAAGGGGTCTCCTTCCACTGGTATCGTTTATGCTATTTATACCATTGGAAACATCTTGAGGTCTTTTGCTGCAGGACCGGCGATCGATTTCAGAGGTAGGAGGTGAATTTGCTTCTCCAAATACGAAGTGGAACTAAGTCATTTGCTAGGACGGCGCTACGGAATGTTCATTGGTGCCCTTATTATTATAATAGGCACCTGTGTTCAGGCCTCGGCTCAGAATTTGGCCGCCTTATGACCGGTCGTTTTATTCTCGGATTTGGAGTTGCTATCTCGGTCACTCCTGGTCCGGCTTATGTGTCAGAAATGGCGCATCCTTCTTATCGTGGCGTTATGACTGGCCTATAAAACACCTTCTGGTACGTTGGTGGGATCCTAGGTATCTTTGTGCCCTATGAGACATCCATGATCTCCGGGACAATGTCATGGAGGATACCGATCTGGCTTCAAATGTCGTTCTCGGGCATTGTTCTTGTTTTCTCCCTTTTTCTTCCCGAGGTGAGTCACCACAAGCATTTCGACTATAATATTGTGCTAAGACTAGATATATATAGACCCCTCGTTGGCTCATCGCTAATGACCGGACTGAAGAAGCGCTTGATATAATGGCTAAGTATCATGGAGAGGGTGACCGTCATTGTTCAATTCTCGGGATGTTCGTTATCGTACCATGCTCGTAGTCACCATGGTGAGTTTTAAAAGGCCTGCTCTATATTGCCTTACTAATGCACGCTCAGCTTTCTTTGGACAATGGTCGGGGAACGGGGCTGTTTATATTACTATCCTCAAATGCTGCAGGGTGCCGGAATCACAGACAACCACACTCGGCTCCTATATAACGGTTGCCAGAACGTTGTCTCATTGGGCGGTGCTAGTTTTGGCGCGATGTATGCGGATAGATGGGGACGTCGCCCGCAATTACTCGTCAGCACTGGTATGATTGTCGGCATATTCTGTATCAAACAATCAATGCCACAAACGTCTACACTGCCGCCCACGGCACGCTCCTCGCGAAGTTCTCCTTGGCCTCCAACAAGGCCGAGATCGCATTTGTCTTCCTTTTTGGGTTCTTGATATCCACTGGTTGCACGCCTCTTCAATCCCTATATCCCGTAGAAGTTTTGCGCTGTGAGTCTCGAGCGAAAGGAATGGATCTCTACAACTTCTGGGTGAATATCGCATCATTCTACAACACATTCGTAATAGGGATTGCGTTCACGGATGCGGGGTGGAGATATTATTTCTTGTACATCTTCTGGGATATCTTCGAGTTTGTATTCATTTACTTCTTTTTTGTCGAGACGAAGAATCGAACCTTGGAGGAGCTGACGGAGATTTTCACGGCTAAAAAACCGGTTGAGTTCTCCTTGCGGAAGAAGACCGAGATTGGGATCATTTCAGACGAGAAGGGACATGTTGTTCTTAAACAGATTGAAAATTCTCATTCGAATGTTTGATAATGGTGACTCTGAGGTCTCCTACTATCGAATAGCCAGTCCTGTCCGTTAAATTTAGTCCGCAGAAGTGATAACGTTAACTTCATTAATTAAAAAAGGTCCTGTTAAGATCACAACCATTGTCGGGCATATGGCTATATACTGACCTTTGTCTGTGTGAGCTTTCAGAAGCCTAAAATCTCGAGGTCCTCATTATTTGTGTATTACAGATAGAGCAGGAATCCGGGGATAGTTTTTCGCCACATTACATCACCAAAGACTAGTAATCTTGATGACCGCGATACCTCCACCTCTGAATCCATCAACCTCATCCAAATTCGACAGTCGACTAATCGGTCGTCTCATCTACTAAAGTTGGATTACTTGATTGCTCGCTCATGATGTCTTCATCGTCAGATTCTAAGAATGTGCTGGACCAGCCATTTGGACGGAAAGGTAAACTCTTGGTTTGAGAAGAGGTCTTTATATCTGGTATCTCATACAAGGTTGGTTTTTGATAGATCGATCCATGAGTATTCCTCGCTCGTCTCTCCGTGTCCAGCGAGCCGTGTGGCTATCAGCTGGAGGTGGCATGATTGCCACGCTCGAAGGAGTGTATCTGATGATGCGAAGCTTTCAGCGGCTGAGACGGTTTTAAACGAAGCATTGACACTCAAATCAGCGCGGTCTTACCGGGTAGCATGCAAGGCTTCGCAAACGATAAAAGCTTTTTTGAATCTCATCTATCGTTATTACTGCCAGTGACTTCTTCTCGAGATATACTACTCCAAAACCGGGGCCAAAACACTCAAACCATCAATCTCTACAAGGTTGAGTGAGGATTAGTGAGGTACAGCTGGATGCTGAGTATTAGTCTCTTGCAGAGTCTGTATTTTCTGTGCTAGCTATGCGTGCACGTTTCTTTTTCTTCTTTAATCTGAATTTTACCGTCCAATAAGGTCGCTTTATCTAGCGCGAGGGCGATGATCTTTGAACTTAGCAAACGTCTTTTCAGCCTCCCAGTTCCAGATCCTGTCGCTGGCAAAGACGAGATCCATTCCCTCCAATGTCCTCTGGTTAGAATTTGGATACAGTGCCCACACAATGACGATGCCCAAGAAGTTCACCGACCCGAAGATGTACGAGGTCTTTTCATTGAGACGGTCGAATATCGTCTGAAGAAGCGGCACCTACGCAGGGTCTTAAGAAAGTGCAAATGGTAGCAGCCGCGCTACTGGATTTCAGAAAGCAAGTTGATCAAGAGACCTAGCTTATAACTTGATACAATTTCATGTTACTTTAAAAAAGTAAAAAATAGTGTGGCTGGATACATTTTTCAAGCAGAATTTACCTGATCTTAATAATTCCACTTTATATGCATAATTTATAGAGGCCAATCTCGTGTGGTTAACTAAACAAAGTCTTGCTTGGACCTTGGAAAGAATCCTTTCTTTTATGTGAGTTGTTCGATTTCATATCTTTATTGGGCGGTATCCTTGACTTTGCTCGAAGTAAATAAATGATTCCTTGATGCAAAGAACTTGGAGGTCTACTCTGAATGAAAAATTGCTATATATTTGATATAAGTAGAGCGAGCACAATATCGACAAACCAGGTAGTCTCATCTCGTAGAATTTATGGAATCATGCTCCACGACTGAGAGCTTTGAGGCAGAACATCTACATAATGACTCTGATCAGCTTCGAGTGGTACTATGTCCGATGGCGAAGTATCAGCGTTGGCAGTGGTATTGTGATTCTCATTATCAACCGGCCAACGCGTGTTCGAAGCATACGAAAGAGGATTGTTCTCAATGTAAATGGCGTCCAGCCGGGGAGATGGAGAACGTAAGAGGGAATCAGAATCATCTTGAATTACTGCGGTATCGACTCCCCAGACTTATCGTCAAGTAAGGCCTCGTCTTGCGCTGCATTGGCTCCTATCCAAGGAGCACGCCTAAGACGCTCTGGCTTGGCCCATCGGAAGCCACGAAAATCGAATTCATCGATTTCCCGACAAGATGACGGTACTCATTTAGAAAACTGACCCTGTTAGTACACATCAGTTTTAGACAAGGGGGTAAGACGAAACTTTTCAGTGCGGCGACATCGGCGTCTTCGAGAACTCGCATGTAGTCACATCTTTGTAGTCTATAGAGCGCCTCGATACACTTTTCTTTATTTATTACCTCTTGCTTTTTCTGTAGTGGGTCGATGAACTTGCAAGATATTTTACAAAATCAGATCGAGCTGCAATATTTCAAATGGCTGTTAAAAGCTGCGACATGCTTCTATCATTTGCGGCGTCTGGGGGTCAACAGACGGGTCGTCTTTGGCCAATCGTTGTGGCTTKAAAAGAAGAACTGATGAATGAGTTTAGTATAAATGTCTGTCATTTAACGATAAATGCTTGCTGCTTACTCTTAGAGACATATACGCGCGCACGCCGCTTTGAGGAATATGCCATTTTTACCTTTCTCTCTTGTCTTCCACTATCGCCAGACATAATCATTCCCACCCAGCATATATATCATGTGTTTTATAATCTCTTTCATGGAGTGCATTATTCCAATACTTAGATAAAAATGGTAAAATTAAAATGAAAGGTATCGAATATCGGCGTTGACCATGAGACCCAATTTGAGGTCATTTGCTTAAGCCCTAATAATACTGCATCTAGCAGGATCTATACACACAGGCAAGGAGCGATCTTGAGTAGCTCAAGAGGAGTAAGAATGAGACAGGGCATCCTTCAATACAAAGATTACCATGTTTAATTCAACTGATCCCTGTTCAATATGTTCTTTGCACACATGGTCAAGTAGCACAATAAATGTATTTCTTTCTACGTAGACTGAATACAAGCACAAAACCAACTGCATGATACAAAAATAGACATTGAAACCAGTTAAGCATAGAAAATTTGAATGAATAGCGCTAAAAATGGTATATCAGAAAAGTAAAAGTGTGTGGCTAAGGATCGCTCCTGAAATCTTGTGTATAAAGGTGAAGGTGAAGGCGAAGAGAAGATATGGAAAAGATGTAAAGAGCTGAAAATATATTGAAAAGAGAGGGACTGGAAATGAATGAAGGAGAAGAGTAGATGATCGAACACAGTTGCGACCATCGCTGGAGGCTCACATTCAAGCAACAGCCATGGCAGGGAGTTGCAACATAGCTGCTACCCATAAGCAATACAAGTGAAAGGACTTCTTGTCAGACGCGTTGTCCGTTTTGAAGATGAACCTCAATCCAGTCATACCAGCAGACCCAGCAGTCAAAATGTACCCATAGTAAGAGAGATTAAGGTAGTAAGGGCAAAAGACGGACCAGAACATCAAACTGGCCCCCAGGGTCATCCGGCCTGTCTTTGAACCCATAATGAGAGGCAATGTGGTCCGGCCTTTGAGTTGGTCGCCCTCCATGTCGCGGAAATCCTGAGCATGGATGGTGGTCAAGATGACAAGGCCGAAGATGATCATCCATAGTTTTGCGGCTCTTGTCTCAGAATGATTGGAGACAATGGCAATGCTTCCAAGCGCATAAAAGATGTAGCCACCAGCGGCTAGAAGATTGCGCATGAACCAGTCCTCGTTGCCGCCTTGGTTGTCGTATAGCCAGTATAGGACGAAAAGGGCCAAAGTCTCTGGTATGACTCCGTTGACATAGCTGATGCCCAGAGTCATGGCGATCATGACTCGCAGAAGATTGGAGGCAGCTGCTGGACTGATTCTTCCAGATGCAATAGGACGTGAAGGCTTGTTAAGACGATCCTCTTCGATGGACTCCGGGGAGTTTTGGTTGTTGATATCAAAAACCATCAGCACTCCCCAGAGCCACAAAAGTGCTTGCGGGCAGTTGTAGCAAAGATCGCGCAAAGAAACAGGACTTATTGTCAGAGCAGAGTTTGTGTACGCGCCTAGAATGCCGAATGTCATGCAAGGAATTATGACGGTCGTGATGTCCGAGTAGAAGAAAAGATAAACGATGTGTAGAAAGCGAATGGCATCATTTATGGTGGGCATTTTTGGCAGTTTGAGCTGAGGCTCGCACCACACAGTGAAGAGTTGATATGGCCTTGGTACTGGAGATACGAGCATTTCATAGTCGATGCTCTGGGGTTTCATTTGTAAGGACTGTGACTCCATTTCCGATGACTGGAGGTGAGACATTGTGTTGATAATTTGTGGCATTTTTGAAGAATTGGAAATATTCTAAAGGCTGACAATGATAAGCACGATAATAATAGAGAGCGTGATAAATTATATATAGAGTCGGCCCTTTTATTGTGGTCTGTCTCGTATGTTTTAATGATTGTCATCAGGTGAAAGAAGGACAAACCCGTTGACTTGAGATACCCAACACAAAGCAATAGATCATGGACAACCCTGAAAGGGAGGATCCGTCTTATGTATGTACGAGCGTTGTACACCTACATATTGCATCGACAAGGAAGATCGAAGACTATGTAATGAGCCCACCCCTCCGGCAATAACTGCCCTCCCACGGCCCTGCAGGATCTGATCAAAAAGGGAAAATAACAATAGGGCCATCAGGCGGTCCATGATCCTGGGATCTGATCCACTTCTCGCTCGTGCCATCTTTCGTCATTTCCTACTGGTTACCAGGCGGAATTTCAAGAACCCGGACAAACTGTTTGATTCGAGTATGTGGGCATCAAACTCAAATAATTTCCTTAGTAGAAACGCCACAGACCTCCTGGCCGCATCTCCATTATTTGGGGCGAGGCGATCAATCGGAAAACTCGGAATGAAGTATATGATGACCATTTGGGTTCATATTTCATACTATTCCATCATCTACGTACAAATAATGAGTCAACCTTGTGCATAAAATCATCGTAGATAACCGAAAAATGCGACCTGTAATAGATGCATGACGAATTCTAGACCATCAGATCGCCCATCTTGGGT